GCTTATTATATGTCTCCATGCTTAGTAATAAGCCAAAGTTGCCTTAGTCAAACAGCTTAAAAGTTTTAGAGCAGTTAGACGTGGTCCGATAAAATCTCACGTCTTGTGCCCAATCTACACACGTCCATTCCTTGGTCAGTAGGCTGATTCCATATGGGGTTGCGTGCTCTGTTTGTGAAATACTCATAATACTCGTTCTTTTATCGTAAAATGAAGAATACGGCTATAAAATGCGTGTCATATCAAGCTCATGAAAAAATCTTTCAACTCTTCGCTAATTTTATATCCTTTCCTTAATCAGTTTAATAGTATAACATGTCACTTCATTTATACCTAAAAAGTATAATAAAGTCCAATTATTAGATATGACATTAACGTGAAGCACTGTCTTTTCTTTAATGACCATATTTTAATGCGACATTTTCTTATTTATAATACAATTCATGCAAACTCATGATATAACACTTCTTATAACAATGCCGAGCTGTTAATGTATTTTCAAGAGAAACAACGATATGCACTCGTATGTCTCCCTATATCGTTTAATTTCTGTCCCGTGTATAATCATTACATTTGCGAGCAGGCTCAAGTTAGAACCAAATGTGATTTAATTTGCAATTAACTTTTTAGGTAAATGGATAAAATGTTTCTTTGATAAAAAAACAAAAACACAACGAAATAGAGAGTAAAAAAAGCGAGAAAGAAAAATCGAGATACAAGATTTTATCCTTGTTCACTCTTAAAGTAGGACTACATTCAGCATATGATTCCACTATAACTAACACATCATATCTCTCTGTTACAACTCTAAATTAGAAGAGAAAAATATTATATATACTCGGTAACTATTCGTGGGCCGGAACTCAAGTTACCAATAAAATACGGATCCAAATTATAAAAGCCCACTGGCGTAGTGGGGGTGCTGCCTCCTGTAATCCCCACCGGGGCGACCGGCCCTGACCCCCGCCCTCTTGCTGGGGAGTAGAACCCTCGTACCTTCCTGTCGATCGGAAGTATGAATCACATTTCAACAATGAAGAGATCCAGCACGCTTGGTACGAAGTTAACTTACTTAGAAATAGAATATGAACCATCAAATTGTTTGTTTATGTCAAGATTAAGACCCGAAACAAAAGCGAATTAAAAAAGAACACGAGCGCCACCTGTAAATACCCGGTGGAAAATTTTCCTATGTGCCGAGGGCAAGAGGACCACCCCCGTAGCTGAAGGGTCCAATGATTAAGCAGGCATCTGAATATGCGAGGGGGGAAAAGCAGTCGAGTTCTAATGACTTTTAAAGGGCAATAATTATGTTGCAAATTGCGATCAAGAAAATGGTAAATAATTGAGGATCCGCCACCATGGGATGTGGCCGTCACTGCTTGGAGCGGATCGTCGGGAAAATCGTGTGGAGTGACGTGGCGGGTGCTTGCGCAAATTCTTTCTTTCTTTCTTTTCTTTATTTTTGGTACTCGCCACAGGGGAAGTGCACTGAGTAGTACATACTACATTTTGTGGTTGACTTGGCCACTCGGGATGACATAATTGCAGTGTGTTTTGTCTACCAACGGAGCCAATGGGTTGCCATCTTTGTGACCCACGAGCTCCGTGGCAGCTTCCCCGTCTTGACTATGACACTCGAGCGCACTGGTGGATTTAAGTGTTATTGCCACCAGGGAGAAATATTCGGTAATTTGCGAGAGTCACGTTATCGGTTGATGGGCATGCATTTGTTCACTCCGACCTAATTAGAAATCGACGCGTATATACTGACGTGGACTTGAATAAAAAAAAATATTTAAAAATCTCCATCCGCTTGTTTCTTTCTCCTCCATTTGTGGCTATAGCCACCACGAGCCAAGCCGGCGAAGTAATCGGCGCCTCTACCCACCGTCACTACTGACGGACTCGCCATGAACCCCGCTGTCAAGGGTCATGGCCATGGACGAGCTCCAAATCTGGAATATGTGAACAAGCTGTGTTGCTTGCAGCCATGGCTCCAGATTTGGGGATCGTCCACTTAGAGTGCGCATGGCAACCGATTCTGCTCAGAAATGGTTCTTTTTTATTCTGTGCCCGGGAACAATTTATAAGCATTTGAAGGCGTTTGGTAACTGCCCAAAATTTCTATTCTTAGAATATAAAAATAACAAAATGCGTTTGGTAACTGCTCAAAATTTCTATTCTTATAATATAAAAAGAACAAAATGCGTTTGGTAACTACACAAATTTTTTTTTATTAATAATATTTTGAATTTTTTAATATTTCTTTCTCTTTTTTTCCTTTTTTTTATTTTTTTTATTTTTTTTCTTTCCCTTCCTTGGCCATGACCGGCAAGGACGTTGCAGCCCTTGCCACCGCCCTCGCCGCCAGCCTCGCCGGTGGCGACGGCGAGGTCGGCCTTGCCGTTGCGGCCACGAGCCACCCTCGCCAGCCCTGGTCGGTGGCCGATCACCGGTGGCCGGTCGCTGGTCGTCAACGGCTGGCCGTCAGCGGCTGGCGGCAGACCGGGAAGAAGAAGAACAACAAACTAAAAAGAAAGAAGAAAACCAAGAAGAACCAGAAATGGAAAAAAATTTTGCTTCTTTATTCTGTTCTAAAATTGATTCTGGGAACAATTTTTTACAAATTTGTGCCCGGGCACAAAAATTTTAATAAACGGATTTCTATTCCCAAACTGATTCTGAGAATAAAAGATCAGAAATTTTCGCTATTTGGCAACTTGCCAAACGCCACCTTACTGCTCTAGATCTAGAAGAAGTGCTTGCTTTATTGGTTTAGATTTGGAGGCAACCTTGTGAATGAGCCGCCGTCCATGCCGACCACCGCGGTCCATGTCGATGATCGTTGTCCATAGAAGCCTAGATGAAGGAGGAGTCCAATATTGAAAAAGGAAGAAAAATAGGAAGTCCGCGCTATTCTTCAATACACATTAGTAGCCATGTGTGCGGTGAACGAGAGTAAAACATGCTCACCACTTCAGCTTTCTAGCGTGGTAGTCTGGTGATAAAACGGGTCGCGCTATTTTTTTGCGAGATCATAAGTTTAAGTCACGTCGCGAGCGAAACTCCAATTCGCTTGCGCCTCGAGCATTTGCTACAGCATACGTGGTGAATCCCCGACTTTTGGTGCGACGGGCTCCGGTACTTGCCGGTGAACTCGATAGCTACAGCCATGGAGGCCGTGAGACCATACTTGGTGATCATGCCTCCCCATCGTTTTCACTGATAAAAAAGCAAAAGAAAAAAATTGAAATTCATCGAATTATCAATAGGCTCGAATTTGGACTTTCTCTCGGTAATCTCCCCACGGCACGATGACGTGGCGTATTCATATGATCCGAAGTGACAGTTGAAGAATTTAGAGCACCATTCCTGAAATCCAGCCCCAAGAACCTAAGCTGCGGATCCATCCTACTCGTAATCATGGCACGTCAGTATCGAATACAGCTCTACATCATTCAGTCACGTGGTGGATGTTATAGAATGTACGAAGTGGGAACTGAGCTTCCAGGTTCTTGCCACTCAGTGCTAATCATCATTTCACTAAAATAAATATTAACCAATAAAATAAAAGGAGGGGGAAAGTAAAAAGGAAAAAGAAATTAGTGGGGGAAGTTGGAGAATCTAACCAAAGATCCATAATTGCTCTAATTTCAAATATTTCTCGCTGACTAACAACAATAACAAAGGCAAAAAGCCCGTCCGTTCGTCACCTTCCGCGGGTCTTCTCGATGCACAGGAGCCGGCCGCTTCACGTCCTTGTTAGGATCGCCAGGACAGGTCCGGTGTACTTAGACATGAGGAAGAAAGAGATTAGAGGACTGTGTCAACGAGTTTTTAGGCACGGTTTAATTAAAGATAATCGAGTTTTCGAGGTGCTAATCATACCTGTCACAGGAGGAAGGGGGGGAAAGAAAGTAAAGCTAGGGTTTGGAAAGTTGAAAATTTCTTATTGGGTTGTTCGACGTGGGTCGCTGGAAGTTCACTAGTTGATCAAATGCAAATAAAAAAACACGAATTAAATAAGAAGTGGGGATTCTCTTGTGGAGTTGACAAGTAAATAATCTTTTCAAGCATAGGTTTTTGTTCGCTAGCCCTTTCGGCACCGAAAAACTATCCAAAAAAAAGTCTTAAACCTGCTGTATGGCGATCAAGTCATTCTTAAACTTTTCAATTATACCAATTTCGTCGTAAACATTTTGACAATTTGTCAATTCAGTTATAAACATTTCGATTGTACCAATTTAGTCAAAAATCTTTTGACGATTTGTCAATTTAGTCATAAGTTTTTATTGCCAATGTAGTCCTTCTAGATAATTTTGACCGAAAATCTCCGATGTGGAGGTCCGTCAATGCTGGCTATCCTATATAGCATGACTGGCGCTTGGCTGGCACTAAAGTAGACAATATTTTAATTCTTTGAGAAAGAATATCTTATTATTATTAATTTTTTCTTTATTCTTTTTTTCTTCAATGTGCCAGTCACCTTCGCCAGCCCCTAGGCGAGCACTTTGAAGAAAAAAAAGAAAGAAAAGAAAAGACGAAAATAAAAATTAATAAAAATTCGGAAATTTTTAAAAGATATCTTAAAAAATAGTCCACGTTAGTGCCACATAGAAGCGTCAGTAATGACCAGACCGCCACGTCAGCGATTTCCTACTAAAATTAGCCGAAATAACTATATTAGTAATTCATTAAAAAGTTTATGACTAAATTGGCAAATCGTAAAAAAACTTATGACTGAATTAATACGATTAAAAGTTTTAAGGATTGAATAGACCGTCCCAGAATAAGTTTAAGACTTTTTAGACTATTTTGTTATTATTATTGGGTGGTTCAACGAGCGTCTTTGGAGGAGCACTAGTTGATCAAAATGCAAATTAAAGAAAAAAAAAACTAGATTAAATAGGAAGTGGGGTTGCTCTTGTGGCGTTGACAAGTGGATAATATTTTCAAGAATAAATTTCTGTACGCTAACCCTTTTGGCCCTATATATGAAAGCAGCGTTGTTGGCCGTGCTGTGCTTTCCCCCATTAAAACCGCGATAACTTTTCTTCCTCAGATCCCATCTCGTGAGGTTCCCATCGATTCCTTTTTATATTCACTCCCCCTCGTTCTACCTCTTCCCCAAATCTGTCAGTCTGTGTTTGTCCTCGAAGCTCAAAAGGATGGCATCGTTATCGACTTGAATCCTCCCTCGGTTTTCTTGAAACCGTATCGTCCCCCTTTGGCTTTCTCGATCCTCTCTCGCATGTTGCAGGTCTCGAATTCGTCTCGACCAGGGGAAGCAACATGAGCAACCCGATGTTGCCGAGAGTGAGGGCCACGTTCCATTTGGCCTACGACCGAGGGTAAACTCTGATCGCGCATAGCTCTTTTGCTCTCTTTTCACCCGAAAGTTCCCTCCCTTCTTTTCGTGCTCTTTTTCGAGCGACCGCTCCGCAGAAAGAAAAGTGTTTTCGATTTCTTGGCAAAAGGGAGAGGAAGACAGAGATGGAAGGCAGCAAGGAAAAAGCGAAGAAGGGCCTGATCACCAAAACGTGGGAGCGGTGCAAATCCATCGGCCGCGGTGGTGGCAGCAAGGCCGCCTCCCCGGGTCGCCTCACGAGGAAGACCAAGTCGTGGAACGGGTCCGCGGATGGGGCGGCGGCTGCGGCTGCGGCGGCGGCGGCCACCGTGGAGCGTGGCCGCGGGAGCAGGCGGCGGGTGGCCCCGGAAGGGTGCTTCTCGGTGTACGTTGGGCCCGGGAAGCAGAAGTTCGTGATCAAGACCGAGTACGCCAACCACCCGCTGTTCAAGGCCCTCCTCGACGAGGCTGAGGCCGAGTACGGGTACAGCAGCGGCGGGCCCATCGAGCTCCCCTGCGAAGTCGCGGTCTTCTACAGGGTGCTGATGGAGATGGACTCCGAGGACGACGACGAGGACGGGGGCCGGATAGGCGGCCTCAGCGCGAAGCGGTGGGTCGGGTGCGGCTTCAGCCAGGGCTACGGCGCGTACCGCCTGCTCAGCCCGTCCAGGATGATTACCATAAATCAGTTCTAGAGTATACTAATGCTTTCGCCATGTTTTATACACATGTAGGAATATGATAAGAGTATTAACTTAGTGATGTTTTTGGTGCTTGTTTTTGTCTTTGGAAATAAGTAGAGCCCGAAGGAAGTGCAGTCGAATTTGAATAGGTCGTTCCAGGGTGTCGTGTAAGAGAGAGAGGATACATACTTTGTGGCAGTAGTGGGTGATGTACGTGGTAGCTTGAGGACATAAAAGATCCTAGCCATGCGTTTGTTTGTATATCTAGAGACCAGATCTAATGTGGATTATGTAATGACCTGTGATCGTGTAAGTTGTGGAACTACAACAGCTTGTCCCAGACGCTTTGTCTCTTATGAAGCAAGGCATACAATGTTGGTCCAGCGAAGCCTTAATGTTCTCTCGAGCATAAATCGAGTCCTCTTAACATGCAAAAACATATACATTCAGAAATTCAATCTATATATACTAACATCGTCAAAGTCATTGATCATGTGAGTTTCACTAGAGAACCTATTCTGGCTATATGGTATTGATTCACACAGATTGAGTTTATATAGTTATTTCTTTTTAAGATATAGGGTTGTGTAAAGGTCAAAGCCTTGGTCGGGTTTATAGATAAGCCACTTGTGTTAATAGTCAATGAGTTAAATGACTTGGGGACCATTGCAATCAAAACGACGAAGTAAAGACCTGCCCTGTTTGGCTATAACCTCCACATGGTGTACTGCCTCTTTGCGAATGAAAATGCATCTCTTGTCATTATTCGATGAAACCTTTAACGAATCCCTAAGTCGGGAGCTGGGTATTCGGTGCATAACGTGACTTTTTTAGTGACAAAGTTTTGAACCCTTGCCTTATTAGCGACAGTTTGTGCCAAGCATGGGAGTCGAGGCTCTAAAATTTCCTTCCTGTCGAATGAGAAAAAGTCACGAGTTCGATTTACGAATTTTATGCGAATACTTCGACTAAAATTATGGTGTTCGGTAAGTATTTCAATCGAAATTAAGATCGATAAGTAGGAGGAAAAGAATTTTAGACCATGTCACTTTTAGTGTAACAGTACAACAAGGTTTGGAAAGATTATGACGACGAATTCTTGCGGCTGCTGGTGTTGTTAATGCAGAGACGAAAGATATTAGGAACCGTGTAAGATTTTATGGGACAATTAGCAACAAAATCATAAACTTATTATACTTGTGCCAATTCAGTCCTAAACTTTTTCAATTGTGACAATTAAGTCCTAAACATTTTCACATTTTGCTAATGGAGTTCATCCGGTCAATTTCAGTTGTAAATCGCTGACGTTGACGTTGACCGTTCTACGTGGCATGGTCGGCACAGACATTGACATTTTTAAATAATATTTTAATTATTTATGAATTTTTATAATTTTTTTGTTTTTTCTTTACTTTTTTATGGACTGAGGGCATCCCGGCCCTCTCCTATGGCCGGTGAGGGTTGGCCGGCTTAGATAGCCGGTCCTTAGTCCCAAAAAAAAAGAAAATAAAAGAAATAACTAAAAATAAAAAAATGTCCATATCAATACCGAGCATATTACGTAGGACAGTTGGCGTCTACATTAGCGATTTCTGGCCAAAATTGAACAGATGGACTCAATTGGCAAAATGTGAAAAGTTGTATGACTCAATTGGTATAACTGAAAGATTTATGAATGACTTGACATAATTACAATAAATTTATGACTTTTTTAATAATTTCCCCAAAACTTTATATACAAATCTTTGTAAGCACTTTGAATATCTTAGCATTACTTTTGAAAGACTTGGTTGATGGAAAGGTAGGCCATACTAGGGTTCCTTTTTTGGGGGCGGGGCGGCAACTAGGGCTCTTGGCTGTACATGATTAACAAAAAGAAACATAGTTTGTAGGATACACCCAACAAATAAAAATGTGTTAGAACACCTATCCTCGTCTCACAGTAATCTTACACCATCTCTTGGTGTTTACACCAAAAAAACAGTCAGCTCTCTGTAATAGACAGGTTATTAAGTTTGATCAATTAGTCGAGATAGGTTAAAAATAGATGACTCAAGCTATAGAGCAATCTGACCAAAAAACAAAAGAAAAAGCTATAGGGGAATCGACAACTATGTGGCGTGGATATCAACAGCTTTATGACATGGTCATCAATAACTACATAATATCGATATCGACGAGAAACAATGCATGTTTAGCAAGTATCATATTGGCTGAACCTACGGGTGATCAACTATTTAAAATTTGGCTATGTGTTGTATACCAAAAAAAAAAAAACAAAAATGCAAACACTTTCCTATCCAAAATCGCCACAGAGTCCGTTTTCGCACAAAAAAAAAAAAAAACCCCCCCAAGAATCTAACTCTTTTGACAAAGGATTTTTCGCCATTTGGGCAAAATCTCATTTTCAACTAAACACTTGGTACAATTTAACTTTAATTGTCGCTCTGTTTTTACGTTTGCTATTGCGTCCCCTTGACGTGTAAAGGATAATCACGTCGAAAACACGGTTGTCCAAACGGTGCACAAAAGAGAGAGGGGACAACGAATCCTCTCTCGACCAATCGCCCAGAATAACTCCAAAAGGAAGAGGCAAAAAGAAAAAGAGGGAAAGGGGATTAAGCAAATCCAAAAGGTGGACCTCGCACTGGTTTTTTAGCAAATGCAAAACATCGCGATCGTAACTCAAATCATTTATTAGACATATCGGAAAGCTGTCGATTTCGCATGCACGATTTTTCTCTCGTGAAGGAAGGACGATTAGGCAATCACCCGAACGGGGGTGGACCGACGCCCTTCGGCTCCGTGCGCGTCATCCGCCGCGCACGCCTCTCGTTATGGCCGGGGTTGACCATCGACGTTGCTATCTGTTTATGCATCGAGCCGATCCTAGCTAGCCGATGATCGCAACTCATCCAATCGCTCCAAGCCTTACCCAACTTGTCCTCTTATCCTATCGTCAATTGGGGTTGAAAAGCGGCCCTTTGAGTTTGAAAAACAGCCATGCAAAAGGGCGACTCCGATGCCCTTTTTCCGAGGGACACGCACCATCCATAAATATGGTGGACGAACTTACGAGATTGGGGGACATTTCTCTTTCATTGATTTCGACCAAGGATGGGGACTTAAAACGACGCGACATCAAAATCGGGCCGTTGCGAACATATGATTGCTCGGCGGAAGAAATCCGACCTCCTCGCGATGTAAATATTAGGTGGGGGGAGGGGGGGAGGGGGGGAATCGATTTGCCTATGCAGTGATGAGATGGTTCCGCGTTCAAATGCTCGTGTTCTTACGTTTTCCCAATCCCTCGATCTTGTCCCCGTGTCACTATCTTTGACCGTTCGAAGTGGCGACGTTCCTGTCTCTATATCTTGTTTCGAGTACTGCCTGGCTAGGATTGCAGATATTGTGCTAGGGTTTTGAGGATGACCGAAGCATCGATACCGATACCACGTAGTCCGGATGTTTTCGCACTTCACCGGCTTTTCTCGCTTGACAAATTTTGCAATACACCTAGATAATTATTATTATTGTCAAGTACCAACTAGACGAGTATGCATGTAGCGAAAGGTGGGACTGGATCTAGCGCTCTATGTGGTGAGGCGATTACTAGAATTCTCATCTTTGACTTTCATTGCCACTTGCCAAGCCTGACTCTGAAGATCTCATCAATCAAATGCTTAGATGCACCAATACTACGTCCTCAAACGGCATGAGCGCAATGTCTTCCTGGGAAAAAAGGGTATTGCATGGTGGATAACTTACATAGATTAAGCCCATCGAAATCGATAATCGTGCAGGCCTTACTGTGGGATCCATATAATTTACGATTCAGATGATATTGATCAACTTCATTTACAAACTATACAATAATCTCCGGTCTATGGAATGCGCACGTGTAAGTGTAAGGGGCCTCTTTTTTTTTCTCCTCAATAATTAATCGGTTTGACTAAGATATAATTTACGATTTTGTTTCCTCAGTTTTGGCCTTAGGAAATTAAGGGTGCTTTTTAAGTTTTCCTGCAATTGAACGCAAAGGTAATGAACTCTTTGGTTTTCAGAAGTTCTTGTCAGCTAGAGCCATACCAATACCCTCCTATGATTGGAGATATTTGTTCTTTCATTATAGGAATCTGCCGAAGCTTGACGCAATTCTTTGTGCTGGACCTGGTTAACGATCCTAATCAGGCAGCCCAAGCCCGTCAAAAGGAAACAACTGTTGTTTTCATTGCAGGGGCGATCCGCCTTTGCCCCTCCAACTTATTAATCCGGTTCATTTCAGATACTCGGTCGGTCCAAATTGTAAATTCTAGGCGAAGTGGTCCGTCGCAATGAACAGATTAGATCTCCGATTTCGTGCTTATGCGAGTCGAGCCGTGACGGTTCGGGAGGAAAAAGCATTTGAGCGTCCACGGCTATCGGAAGTTCGTTTGATGTTGCATGCTCGACGCTGCGACGAGAGTCTATATTTGCCGATGTCGAAGTTATCATTTCGTCCTTATACCTTTATTAAGCCGGAGTTAACAGGCGGAACATCAATTACATGTGGCTGCAAGAATCCTCAGCAAATGTACGCCATTCATGCGAAAGTCACTACGATAATAGGGTTAGCTTTGGGCCATGCCGATTTATATCTCAAAGCCCCAGAAAATCCACACTCACACACACCCAAACACTCGTATATAGGAGTTTAGTACCTAAACACCGCAGGTTGTTTTAGGGAATTTTTCGGTTCAATCTTGTTGGATTGGACACAAAATGCACCCGGCACGCAGGCAATGGCGGCTATGCTTTGTGCCGAAACTCGCGGCGTTACTTGCGACGGACCGAGCAGATTAAACATCGTGAATTGGGCTCGAGTGGCGGCCCCAACTTGATTCCTTTATATGCATTTTCGGTCTGATGTCCCTCGTACTTCTTCGTGTGTTGCTTCTGAGATAAGTCTCGATTTGACCCTCCCCCCAAAAAAAAAAAATCTTAAGGAAAACAATGCCACCGAATATAGAGAAAAAGAACAGCAAATAGTGCTCGTTTCACCAAAAGACAAAAAGTTGGCGGGCTAAGGTAACAAATTAGGCCCAATCCTGGCCTACCCAACCCAAACAGTGCATATGCAATTTATTCTCTTGTTAATGGGCGGGCTAAGGTCCACAAATTAGGCCTAATTCGAGGCCCAAACTGGACACTAGGATGCGTCTGATGATCACTTATGTCCGCTGGGCAGCTGAGTATTGGGCACGAGCGTGCAAAATGGACCGCCAAAATCGGACTGGATCGGCCGGTTTAGTCTGATTTTCGGGAGTGTCGGTCTAGTTTGCGGCTCCTAAAAGTGGAACGGTGCCCAGGCAGTCCGATTTCCGATTCTAAGGGGGAACCGGATCAACTACATATACTTTTTTTTCTTCAAAAAATTAGTAAAATGTGAACCAAATCCTAAGTGAACTTCATTGACAAAAGTTATCAAAATGTGAACTAAATCCTAAGTGACCAGTTCCATTGGACCGGATTCTGGTCCGATTCTCGATCCTAGGACCAACCGGTCCGATCCCCGGTTACCAATTTTGGGAATCGATCCTCCCGGTTTGGTTTCCGGTTGCACCTTGGAATTAGACCGAACTGAGAACTGATCACCACTAGTGTTGAGGATGATATCTTAGCAAGAACTTCAAGCTATGAAACTCTTATTATGTCTAGGGATGGCGATTTCAGATGCCACACGCGGCTCGAATGCAATACTGAAATTAACGGGTTTGGGTCGAGGAAAGTTTTGTTTGGGTCCATTTCGTACCAACTCGTTGGACACGGGTAATAATCTTATTGTGTCCGTGTCCAATCCATCAGATAATAACCTGTTTAAATTAATGGGGTTATTGTCGACATGACACGACATGTACGTGACCCGTTTAAACACGATTAACCGAAAAAGATTATTCCTTTACGTGCTGTTCGTTATCGGGATTTTAAATAAATGATATTTCCATTAACCATGCACTGATTTTTAATCTGATCCGAAGACATTTTGTCGACGCTCACTGCGATTCGTAAAATAGATTTTTATAAAAAACCGAGGATATCTCGCATCAGGTCCGTGTCGACGGGCTAATTCCGTGTCACGGCGGGCCACATATACAGGTCACGCTGTGTCGACCCCGTTGATCTTCGGGCCGTGCTCGTTTCATGCTGATCGACGCGATCAGCCGATCAATATACTCCTGTATCGATACCGCGAAGAAGACGGATCTACACCCGGCCTCATCAAGAACATCAAAGGAAGCACGACACCAATCGGTACAATACAAAATCAAATTAAAAAAACGAGAAAGACTCTGAATTATTAAAGAAGTCCTAAGCATTCATTGGTGCGATCAGGGGGCAAAGCAACGTAGAAGGAAGAGAAAACAAAAATCCCCCCCACCCAAAAAAAAAGAAGAAGGAAAAATGACACAAAAAGTCTATGAATTTTGGGTCAATATGCAATTTGGTCCATGAACTTTTAATTTGTTCAATATAATCCCTGAACTTTAACCAAATTTATAACGTGGTCCTTGAACTTTAATCTGTTCAAAGTCATCCCTGAATTTTTTATACATGTTCAATTCAGTTCCTGAATTATATGAAAATGTTCAATATAATCCTTTCCATTAATTCAAGTTCAGGGATTCCACCGAACATTTTGATATAGTTCAAGGACTGAATTGAACATGTACCAAAAGTTCATGGATGACATTGAACAAAATAAAAGTTGAGGGATCACATTGAGCATTAACCTAAAGTTTAGGGGCTATATTGAACAAATTAAAAGTTTAGGGATCAGATTGTATATTGGGTCAAAGTTAGGGACTGTTTGTGTTATTATCCAAAAAAAAAATAAGGGACTCGAAATTTCAACGGAGACTCGATTTGGCTGTTCTGAGTCTTCTGACCACCCAAACCCAAACCCATTTTTCCTCCCAAAAACTACTCTCTTTTTCACTCTCTCTCTCTCTGCAAGTGTGTTTCCTCCTCTACACCAACAACCCCTACTCCCTTCCCCCCAATCCCAACCCCACCCCCCTCTCGAAACCCTAGAAATCCTGCTCCCGCGTCAATCTCCACCTCCCTCGCCCTCGCCTCCGCCTCCGTGCGCCGCCGTGTGTCCGCGCCCCCAGCCGCTCCTCGCCGCTTCGGCATCTCCCTCCCCTCCCCTCCCCGATCTCGCCGCCCCTCCCCTCCCCCCCCCCCCCCCCTACCCTCCGTCGCCAATTCGTCCGCAGCTCGATGGCTGAAGGCAAGTTCGATCTGCCCGACGATCTGCTGTCCTCGAAGCCGGGCGATCGTTCCTTCCCTCCTCCCAAAAGTACTTCGCCCTCTCTCTTCCTCTCGCCTTCGCTCTCTCTCTCTCTCTTTCTTTCTTTTTCTTTTTTTTTTTTGCGTTCCTTGTTCTTGTGAATTATTGATCTTCGTGCGGCCGCGCCGAATCTGCATTCCTCCGCCTGTTTGGATTGGGCGGCGATGCGGATGGCTTCGGCGAGTCGGTACCCGATGCGAGTGGCGCCTAGGGTTGTGATCTGGAGGAGCATCGGGATAGTGTGGCCGACGCGTTTCAACTCTTTGTATGCGGGGACTGCTTTGTCAGATTGGGGTTTCGCACCATATCGGCTGTTGTGTATCGCATCTATTCATTGTCTCGCTTTTGCTTAGGCTCGCACAATCGGGCCTTTGTTTGTTTCGTTCTTGCCTTTATCGCGTTCGAGTTTCTGAAGTGGCTTCATCATATCTAATTTTTTTTTTTACCCTTTTGCGATTGGATTTGTTTTAGATTGGTAATATCAATTTTTTTTTCCTGGGGAAGAAGGAAATTTGAATGCGTCTCTCTCTACTCATAATGGTAGTAGCGTAATGGTTTTGCTTGTCCTGCATCTGACGAATCGTGTCGCTTTCAGACAATTAGATTTTGATTGCTCGGGAGTGCTTATATTTAACTACTTCAGTTTCATATTGCATCTGTTTTTCTGTTCTTTTTTTTTTTGAGATTTCTTCCTATGAAGTTCGTGTTTACACTTTTCGTCTTCGTCGAGTTTCTAGTATTTCTTTGCCGTGGTTTTTCCCCCCTATGCTGTGCATCGATCTTCACCTGTTTCCTCTCCTTAAGTATAATTAGGCGCCGTGTGTTTTTCCGTGTGTTTTTCCGGTGCAAGACGTCATTCCTAGTGATGGATTATTTTCTGAACTAGCTTGCGTTTTGTTGGACTTTTCGATGTAGAAAATCAGAACCTTAAAAATCGTGCCTTATATGTCTATTTCCTCTTCTCCCGATACCTTCTAGTCCGTGTTTGGCATAGTCTTTCCGGTACGAAGTTTATGCAGTTCTTTTTCCAGCTTGTGCCTTTCGATCATGCTTTCGACTGAGGATCTAATAAGCTCGTGTAGTTCCAGCACCACACCTGTTCGTGGCAATATCAAATTTTTGCCTGACAACGACGTAATTATTTTTTTCTTCCCAGAATATTTGGGGATTTTGATAGATCAAGTGCTTGATTGGTACAACGGATACTGCTAAAGCTATTGAAATGATTGGCTATGTTGGATATTATTGTAGCTACGAGATCGCTATATCATGGATTTACGTTCGCCAGCAAAGATATATTTCATGAAAACGAACTAGACTGTACTGTATATTTCAATGATATGAGGTGGCTCCAAGCCGTGAATTTGTGACCTCCCTAGTTCAGGGCTGTCCTGCTAAAGAAATGCCATGAGAACTTTGCCAAGCAGTTTACCATGTGAACTCTGACTTCACCTATTATATGACCCAAACAAAACAAAAAAAACTCTGATTTCCCCTATTACAATCTTGCTGCATCCTTATTAAGAAATTTATTCCTTCATGATACATTAATTGTCTATTCACTGGATGGTACACTGTAAGCAGACAAGGTCAAAGCTCGACTTTCTCAAGTTTTGTTTAGTCATTTACTGTCTTTCTCTGTGCGTGCTCTTACTTTTATCTTAGGGTTGTACATGCATGTGCTTTATTGATTACATTTTCATGTTGAATGCTTGAAATGCTGTTATTAAGTCGGGTAACGTTGATGGATTTGGAGGTGCTAATAATGTGCTCATTGTGTGTAGTGGAAGCTCTGGGAGGACAGTTTGAGGAAAAGGTGCTCATGGGGCTGAATGATGAGTCAAAAGGTACTTTTTACAATCTGTTATTGTAGTTTGAATGTTTGATTCTTATGAGGCAATGGAGAAAATTGCAGTATGGCAGCAGAATAGCTTGTGTATATGAATGCTTTATTTCACTTTGGATTATCTCATTAAAGTAGAAGTTACTGCTGCATTTAATCTGGTTGAGTTTTTTAATTGCAGATCAAGTGGCGTCAGAGAGCAGCATACCTTTGTCCCCTCAATGGCTCTATGCCAAACCAACCGAGACTAAGATGGTACTTTCGGTGCTCTAATTGGCCATAGATACTGAGGTTTTTCCTTTGGATAGTTTTTTTGTTCTCAGAAAATAGTTGTGTGGTATAGAATTGTGGAAAGTGCCTTGATTGAAAAGTTGGCTCTAATTTTGGCACCTGAGGGTGTGCAATACTCATAAAAATAGGTTACTCCTTCACGATAAATGTGCTAGAGTTTGCGACATTTTTCATGGTATGAGCGGGAAGTAGAAACTGTAAGATATTCTTTAGCGTGTTTTTGGAGGGAGGAATTCTTTTAGGACCTCTTTATTGTAAATGAACCTCTGAACTGCTAGCAATTTTGGACAAGGAAGTGTTCTTTCCCTCCTCGGTCTTCATTCTTAAAATAAACTGTTAACAGTGAAAATATCGACTTATCAATTTGCTGCAACTTTAATACCAGGGCGAGTAAATAATGTACAAATATTTTTCCTGATGTATGTCTCTAATTTTGATTTTTAAAGCAACCTAAAGCCCCCAGGCAGATAGTCGGCTCTAGTGACAATTAAATTATTGTAGCTGGTGTATAATGATCCCGACTAGGACTTTCTATTCAATCAGATACCTTCATGAGACACAGTCTCCTTTACATAATTTATAGCCCAGTATAATCTTCTTGAGAAGCATGCCGTTGCATGTCGACCATCATTAGACTGAATTTCTTTCAGATACTTCACTGTACTTCCCTCATGATTTTTAGCTGGCCAGCAGTTTTTTGGCTGCTTCTCATTGGTTGTTTTCTTAGTAGAAACTTTTTTTGGAGTTTTATGAGTCTTTGCACTGTAGGACAACATCATTTTTATTTCTCTTAAGCTATTCCCCTCTCCTGTAGATTTCGATAAAACTTATGAGATTGCAGGATCTGGAAGATGCATCTATGAAGTATCAATGTTTGTTGCCACTTACCTGTTCTTCTCTATGTATCAGGAAATGCGAGCTCCATCTTCAGTGTCAGTTGGAAATTCTAGCGATCCCACTCAAAAGGAGAACTGGCGTTTGGAAGGGACTGAGGACAAAAAAGACTGGAGGAGAGCTGCCGCTGAGAATGAAAGTGGCCGTCGTTGGCGTGAAGAGGAAAGGGAAACTGGCTTACTTGGCGGTAGGAGAGACCGCAGGAAACCAGATCGTCGTGTTGACAATGTTCCGGTCCGGGAAACTAATGAAAGTAGAACATTGGCTGCTAGTGATAAGTGGAGCGATGGTAATACTCGCACAGCTGGGCATGAAACGCGACGTGATAGCAAGTGGTCTTCAAGGTGGGGTCCTGAGGACAAGGATAAAGAATCTCGCAATGAAAAGAGGGCAGATGCAGAGAAGGAAGATGGTCACCCCGACAATTCACCACTTTTAGGCAGCAACCGTGGAGCTCCGGAGCGTGAATCTGAGTCCCGGGATAAGTGGAGGCCACGCCACAGAATGGAAGTTCATTCCAGTGGTTCGACTCCCTACCGCGCTGCTCCTGGATTTGGAACTGAGAGAGGAAGAGTGGAGGGTTCACATACGGGGTTTACCGTTGGACGAGGAAGGTCCAGTGTGATGGGAAGATCGTCGGGCACCATCGGTGCTGCTTATTCTGACAAGAGTGAGAGCATCCCTGGAAAACCAATTGTCTTAACTGATTCTTTTTGTTACCCTAGGGCAAAGCTTCTTGACATTTATCGCAAGCAAAAAGTCGAACAATCCTTCGCTTCCATGCCTGATGACATGGAGGAATTAGCCCCCATAGCTCAAGCAGACGTTGCTGAACCGCTAGCTTTCATAACCCCTGATGCTGAAGAGGAGGTAATAACGAATACATGATTTTTACCTTCTTAGTCTTCTTTGTCTATTTGTTTTCAGCCAGAAGTTTTATTTATATGATTGAGGTTAATCTTCTCAATATTTGTGTTTTTCATTTGAAAAACTAGGCTGTCCTTGGTGATATATGGAGGGGGAAGATCACTGGCAGTGGAGCAGTGTATAATTCATTTAGAAAAGGCAGATCAACTGAAAATGTTACAGGTATTTAACTCAGCAACGAAGCTTCTCTCAGCGTGCTAATTTTTATGTCACTGAATCTTCTGCCGATTTTCAATTTTCAGGTCTTGGTGATGTTGAATCTGCCGATGAGGGGAAACAGGGCATTCTCTCCTTCGTATCTGCTGAAGAGAATGGCGATACCTTTCAAGAACTTTTGGAAAACTCTCGAGCCAGTAATAACACTGCTACATGGATTAGTGGTTCTCAAATGATAACATGGGGGGGTAAATGACCTTCTTCCTCTTGTTTCTATCGGTTTTTTTGATATGTACTGTAGTGCAGGGCTGTAATCATTTGATTCTTTTTACTAGCTTCAGCTTGAACTTATTAAATTCATCTTATGGTGCAGAAGATGTTAAAAACCAGGGAGTGGAGCAGAAAATTCCTGCTGAAGTTGTTCATCATGGGGACTCCGTTGATAATGGTACCCGAGGATCAAATGAAATTGATAGTCCTTACTTTGCCACTTCTCAGGCAAATATCGCCAATAATGGGACGGGGACACTATCTGCTTTTACCAATGAATCTCAACTTCAAGAAATCACACCTGCTTCTCCTTTTGGCATCAGATCGAAGCTTTCTAATGACTCGACTTCTCTATTTGGATTGACCTCTCCTCTCCAACTCCAGGGTGGAAACATCCATCATTTGAGTTCTAATGAGGCAAAAGAGTCGGAGAGGAGTATTTCCGCGGAGGAGCTTAGTTTATACTACCTTGATCCTCAAGGGGAGATCCAAGGACCTTTTCTTGGGGTGGACATCATTTCATGGTTTGAACAGGGGTTTTTTGGCACTGACTTACTGGTCCGCCTGGAAGATGCTCCTGAAGGAAAACCTTTTCAAGAATTGGGTGAGGTGATGCCACATCTTAAGGGCATCCATGCCGTTGCCACTGGTGCTGATCAGATTTTGAAATTAGATGAATCTAGTGCTTTAGGTGGTAAGCTGGAGACTGGTGTGCCTGCTGCTGCTCCTGCTGGTAAAGTTGATGATTTATACATCATGGAAAGCCGGTCCTTACCAGAGATTAGGAGTATGTCGGCACAGAATGTCCAAAGCATAGTATCTGAATCTGGTGTCCCTCATCTGTCTCATTTGGAGACAGGGTTTAATGATTTTGCTGCCCAAGATGAAGGTGAGTTCTCTTATTAGTGCCAGCTTTGCTTTTGTTTGTACTCTTTCTCATTTGGCTGTGAATTATTTTCTTGATAAGCTTGTTGGCAGTCACTAGTTTTGGAAAAGAATAGCAATGCTCCCATTTCTCATAGTACTGTATCTTTCCAGAAATTGTTTTCCCAGGAAGACCAGGAAGTAGTGGCCATCCTTTTGGAAGATCTACTGGAAACATCCATGATGCTTCTCTGAAACCTCTGAGCCACTCTTCTGTTCAAGCTGAATTGAAAGCACCCAACATTCAAAACCAAAATGATAACATGATGCATCCTTTTGGTTTACTTTGGTCCGAGATTGAAGCCACTAATGCAAAGCATACCTCTGCATCCAACTTGCCTTCTGCCATGGGAAGGGGTCCTCAATTCGGAGGCATTTCCGACCCAGCTCTCATTGCAGATAATTGGCCTGATTCATACAGAAGGAATGCAGCTTTTGACTACCCCAACTTGTATCAGGAAACTGTGGCTTCTCGAAACTTTCCACGCATGGAACAGGAATCAAACCGTCTTGATCTAGCAGAGCAACTATTGTCAAGGCAACTTCAGCATCACCATCTCCAACAGCAAAACCTGTTACCTTTTCATGCAAATTCCGGCCATTCCATTTTGGAACAAATGGCTGGTGAGCAACTGGCACACCAGCAGCAGCTGGCCGCCCATGCTGTACCAGAAATGGAACATCTAATGGCACTACATCTCCAACAGCAGCGACAGCATCAGCTTCAACGTCAGTTACAGCAGCAGCAGCAGCAGCAGTTTCAGCATCAACAGAAACTTCTGCAGGAGCAACAGCAGTCTCAAGTTCAACAGGTCCTACTTGAACAAATCCTGAGAAACCGAATGCATGATCCTGGCCTTGCACAGTCAACTGTTGATCCTCTGAGAGCCAACAATGCTCTTGATCGGGCTATATTGGAGCAACAGCTTCTCAATGAAATGAAACAACGTTCTCATCATCCTGCCAGACATATTGATCCATCACTTGAGCAGATAACCGAGGCAAAGTTCGCTCGTCTGCCACAAGAGCTTCAAGAGTTACTCATAGCTCGTGCTCAGCGTGGACAACTTCAGTCTTTGGACCATCAGATACTGCAAGAGCAACTTCAAGCTAGGCAGTTTCCAATGGGAATGGGGCTACCTGCCAATTTGGAAGAAAGGCGCCTTGGCTCTGGCTGGCCAGTTGATGAAACTGATCAGTTCCTTAGGATGCACGGTGGTCACCGAGCACACTCATCAGGGTTTAGCCCACTAGATTTTTATCAGCAACAACAGGGGCCATCCAATGAAGACCAGCTGAGCTTCTTTGACAGGAATCATTCGCTACAGGATCGTATTAGACAAGGTTCTTATGAACCTAGCGGGCTGCCTTTTGACCGTTCAATTTCTTTACCAACTGGTAATGCCGGAATGAATCCGGATGTCCTAAATGCTATGACTCGTATTCATGGCTTAGACATGCAAGAGTCTAGCACAAGAACAAAATCTGCTGCTCAAGCAAAGTTTGCTTCAGAATTGCACCCTCGAGGTGCCCCCCACTCTTTACTTCCTAACCAATTTCATGCTTCTCAGCTGGATGCAATGGATGGTCACTGGTCTGAGAATAATGGGCAGCTTGCAAATGACTGGATGGAATCTCGAATTCAGCAATTGCATATTGGTGCTGAACGCCCAAAAAAGGAACAATTGGGTAAAATGACTTCTGAAGACCCGAGTTCGTGGATGTCAGATGGACAAGATGATGACAAGTCAAAGCAGCTGCTGATGGAATTGCTTCATCAGAAATCTGGTCATCAATCCACCCAGTATGCAGATGTTAGTGAGGGAGTACCAGGGGAGAGAAGGCCTATATCCGGCTTTTACTCTAGTTCGAACTCTCTGGATCGTCAATTTAATCTGCTTCAGGACCGAGAAGCTGGTTTAAGCAACTCGTTTCCCGTAGGTTCCTACGGATCAAATTCCTCTGATCGCGCCAGCAGTTTTGAAAACAGAGATGAGTTGCCATTCAGAATGGATTCTGGGGCATTGGCTGCGGCAGATCCATTCTTGTCCAGTATTCACGGATCTGGGATGGGTTTTCACACTAATCCAAGCAGGAACGACAATAATTCAGCTCATACAAAGGAGCTTGTGGAGGCAGAGGGGAGGAAGGGTGTATCAAAAAGCGAGGGAAAATTAAAGGGTTCGCTCTTTGAGATTCAAGAAGCCACGGCTGAACAAACAGGATTGGCTGCTACAGATCATGGCGGAGTACCTATCAATTCCTTTGGCAGGCATGCTTCACTTGGTGCTGCTGCAGGTACTTTAGATTTGATGTTCTTGTTAGTTTTTGTTATGGTTATGTTCAATTTTTATTGGTAAATAAAATTTAAATATTTTATAGGTGAAAATCCAGTCTTCTACGATGAAGGAATTGCAAACCGGTATCCTGAACAGATGAGCAAGGATCAGTAAGTATCCCTTCCTGCATTACCTAAAGAGTGGAGAAGGAGCATAGTTGTGGTGTTTGTCTCGATTAATTGTTGAATATGGCATATGGCAGCAGGCAATTGCTGAATCTGAAATTGCTAGCTCGATAGCCCAGATGCTCCTGTTGTTTTGGATTCACTTTTTTTGTCTACTCATGTAATTGAGGGTTCCTTTGTTGCAAATGATATTCAGAAAACCAAAAGCTGGTGTTATCATTAGAGTTATTCTATCATTTTTTGGACTCTTTGAATAACTCATATTAGTCATAGTTTACATGGCATATGACTCAGTTTTAGAGAGTTGTATGGCCATGCTTTTGTTAGTTTCGTGTTATGCAGGTTACTCTGTTGGGTTAATTTACTGTACTGGTCATTGATGTGGTTGCATTGCTGATATTTATTTTTGATCATATCAACTGTAAATTCTGCTTATACAATGGATCTTGCTTCCCTCCTAAACTCTAAATGCTGGTTATCTCCCAGAACAAAGTTCTATGAGGTCACTAATAGCTGATGACTGTTGATCCAGGGTTATCTGTCTTTCTTCTTCTTTGGGTCTCTGGTATGGCAGTCCATTCTTCTTTGTATGTCTTACTTCAATTACTCATTCATGTTTGACGATGGCTTTTGACAGAGTACGAGTCATTCTGTCCAAAAGTCAAGACAATATGCTGCTCAGAGGCCCATCCCAGGAAGGACCGCCAGAGCTTGTGTCCGATCCTCTCGCGAGGCTCAAAAGTGCTTTTCCCGGTGTTCCTGATGGTAAGTTTGATGTTGTTTTCTTTGTGTCCCCTTTTGAGTTATGGATCGGTCAAGTGGGGATGGTCGTGTTTTGTTTGGGTTGATTGGGCAAGATTTTGTTTTGACTGAGTTGATCCCTATATGGCTACTGGGTAAAGCTTCATGAAGTTGATGGTTTTACAGGGTCGAGACAGGACCAAGGGGGGAATCCAACAAAGCAAGGTGCTGAGGACATCGCAGCTGCCAAGAAAGATATGCGGTTCAGGCGTACTTCATCTTGCAATGATGCAGATGTGTCGGAAGCATCGTTTATCGACATGCTAAAAAGTACTAAGAAGACTGCACCACAAGAGCCCCAATCCGCAGCAGTAGTTTCAGAATCATTAGAAGGAACTCAAGCTGGACGAAGCGGAAAGAAGAAAGGGAAGAAAGGGAAGCAAATTGATCCCGCTCTTTTGGGTTTCAAAGTCACCAGCAATCGCATCATGATGGGCGAAATTCAACGTATAGACGATTAAGCCCCCTTTGTAAACTCTTGTGCATGCTGTACAGAGATTAGGAGCTTGTATAGATTTAAAGGTGGTTCAGTAGTGTTTAGTGTATAGTGTTCATCTGTCCACACAAAATTTTCACCCTTGCTTTTCTCCCGTCATCGACAGCGAGATAATATTGAAAATCGGCTATTAACACTACGGAATTCTACAATTGAATATGTCAAGTGAGATTCCACCTGACGAGTCACGACGTGGTCTCTTTGCTCTGTTTGTTTTGTTCTCGGATCATTTTGCGACATTTGTTTCGGATTCGAGGGAATGAATCCGGTATTTTGAACGGGCAGAATTTTTTTCCGCAGGACAGCAATCGTTAGATTTTTCCCGAACTTGATCTCAGAAACTTAGCTCAAATAATGAGCCGTCAAATTTATACTTTGCCAATGGTGGGAACTTTTGCATGTGGTAGATGGTTAAAAGTACAAAAAGCATATGATTAAGCAAACCATATGTTATTGACATATATTGTAGTGAACAGAATCATTTGTACACAATCGACACGAGTGCGAGTTGCATTGCAAAATATATTTCATATATAGCAAGAGTGACCGGACCAACCAACTTCAGATCATCAAGGACTAGGAGTCGTTGCATAACAATCCCAAGAAGCAAATAGACGATGGCGGCACCACAGCATAGATCCACCAATGGTCACCACACATCAGCGCACCCATGGGACTGCCCTTTGAACACTCCTCTCAGTACCGCGAAGAATCCTAGCCTGGGGCACAAAACCTAGCCACTCTATCTGCGCCTCTTGTCTGAAATTCTTGTCTGGCCTTCTCTCTGATAATTTTTTACAGTGGCCTGAATATACTGTAGTACTACGGTGTTCTCATGAAACCAATGTTTAGAGCCAGCCATTTGGGAAGAGCTTCATGACTGTCCTGCCCATGATCCATTCCAGCTCAGAAGATGCTATAGGCACTTGTTCGGCAATGAGAGAGACTGCATCTTTCGCTCCTTTATAACCACACTCCGGTACAACAAATGGGAAGTCACTGCAAAAGATAAAAAGATCAAGCAAAACACAGAATAGCCAAGTGAGTTCGATTCCTTCATTCATGTGTTCTAATTATCCTCTCTACATGTGTTCTTTTGTTCAAGGAGAAGGGAAACTGGCAAAACTCACCTGCCCCACATTATTCGGTTCGCACCAAAGTGGGTAATAAGTTTTGAAAGAAGGTCGGATAAATCAAGAAACGGAAATGGCATTCTCGACACCCTGAAAAGAGCACTGAGTTTTACGTACACCTGTTCAGGAAAAGATCATGTCAACAGGAACCTGCAGCTGATACTTTAAAAAGAGAGAGAAAATCCACTGTGAAAGAGGGATTAAAGATGGTGGGGTTGTCAAAGCGAAAAATACAACAAGACGTGGCTCAGAGAGTTGTACATGAGTAATATTCAAACAGCATTAACTATATGGCAGCAGCCAAGTAAAGAGTGGTATTCATAGAAACGGAGAAGAAACTGAACTCCTGTCCAGGGCTCTGATACCTGAGGGTATCTGGATAATCTTAGAAGCTCAGAGAAGGTGCGACTTTCCTCATCATTTCTGAACAAGACAAATAAGTGCCTCAAGGTTCACTGAACAACTAAGGAATCGAATAACATTTCGATGTCAGTACAATTAAATCACTCACAGTGGTGGCTTGCAGAAAGCTAAATGATCAAGTAAAACCACTGTCGAAGGAAATTCTTTGCATAGCTCCTCGATTTCTGAAATATGGAGATTGAGGCCCTGGGTAATTACAGAAATGTGACCTCATGGCATTTCAATATAATGAGTGAGAATTTGAATGAATGATCATGACGCGATTTAGGGTCTTTCAGATATATTGGTCTTGCATATAACAAGACATAAACATCGGTTCACGCCATAAAACCGACATCATCAAGAATCACATTGCAGATGAAATGTCTGCATAATTGAGAGAGATGATGCCATACTTTCATGCACATGAACCCCACAGGTATCCCAAGCTCTCCTGCTTTAGAGAATAATGCTTTCCCAACTTCATTGGTCATCTGCCAACATCAACATGTATGTCAGAGACATCATAGAACTCCGAGAAGTTCATTCTTCTTCTACACTAAATCCTAGTAGCGTCTAATACAGGTATGAAGGATCAAGATTCACACTATGCTAGAATCTACAACATCTTGCAATAATTCTCCGTCTTAGGATGTTCGTCATAAAAGGCTTTTACACTGATAGAATCATGCAAAATTGAATTTCGCTTCTATGTCACTGAAGCCATCTTTAGAGCCAGAATAAAAATATCCTCGGCAACCAGCTCATAGCGCAAGAAGTACAAAATATGCAGAAATTTCTTTCTCTTTCTCATGTTGGCTTCCTTCCTGAAAGTCAGTGCAACTATCTGCTGGATGCATCTAATACCGCATGTACCAAATCTGAATCAGCAAAGAAAATCATCTCAAAGCAGTTGTGCAGATAGTTTGGACTGAAATCAACACCTTTTGACCGGAGGGCCACAGATATGGGTTGAAACGAACAGCTCTATAACCATCCTGTCATGATAACAGAACAATATCAGAGATTAGTCTAATTCCATCAAGTACTTTTGTACGATGACAACTGCAATGTTCAGACCTTCAAAACAAGCTGTTCCAACTTCTCAATCCCACTTCCATCTTCTGCAGGATTGGCGAGGCAACAACCAACGAATTTAGTTGGATATTTTTTTATGACGCTGTCCAAGTACAAGCTTGTATGAGGAAAATATATTCTGAAAAGGAGAGGAAAGAAGCAGAACAAACTCCAGTCGACCATGAGTTACCATACTTTACGAGGTACATAGTCATTGAACCAGTGACTTCAAATTTGATGGGGAAAAAAGTGAAACTAAATTCTTGATGACTATTGATTTATTACGTGGTTTTGATTCTTTACTCCCCATATTTAGAAGTGCAGCAATTTCAGCCACACCCAAGTGGCATACAACTTGGGGCAGGACTAGTGCACGAAGTCTTAGATTATTCTAGTTTCTGCTATGAAGAATTAAATTACGAGAAGAACAACGTAATTTTCAACAGACCTCGTCACTAGAGAGTGGTCGAACTTGTGATTAATAGGTTGCACAATAAGAGCACCATCTACGCCTGCTTCATCCATACACTGCATAAACAAACCAACATGAACAGCCAAACCTCACTGAGAACAGCTTGCTAACCAAGATTGTACCTTTTCGTTCATCCACTCAGTTCGTTATCTATATGCAGAGGACAGATGCCTCTGTACTCATCCTCGTTCGAATGAATGAACACTATATCTACATTCCACGTTATCTAGATTAACTCTACTTCTCTGAGTCAATAATCTTGACCTGATAACAAGAACCGTTCGCACATATTCATTTTTTGATGGCCGTAACACATAAAATACCTAACCAAAGGAAAAATAGCTGCATGTTTCCTCACTAAAAAGACACTTCCTGCTACATTGCTCTCATCTTTGGCTCAACTAATTTAAGAAGAACAGCATAAAACTACACCAAAATCTGCATAAAATCAGCTCTCATATTGGGTCTGCTCTGCCTTTTATCTCAAGTATGTCTCATTCTTAACCACTCCATCAATCACACCGGTGAAACGTGTTCTATGGGAATCAACACGCGAGAACCGCCATAAGACATACCTGGAGAAGAAAATCAACATCTCCCGGCAAAGTCGGTTCTTGCCCAGGAAAGTAAGGATATTTATCTTCAGCCTTCGCTAAGCCAAAAAAAAAAAAAAAGTAAACAAAGAGAAAAGAGAAAAGAAGAAAAAATTTACACAAATATAATAAACCCAACCCCGGACCGCAAATGCATCGACTTGTCGAAACCAACGATCATCTCGTCCTCAGTATCCGTAATTACTCCTCAAATCTAACTAAAACAGAAAACCCACCTCCCCGTTTCCGCATTTCTGGCAAGACCCAAACAAGCACGCCCAGAAAGCGGAACTTTTGCGAGCTTCCAGGAAGTGGGTCGATGACGATGATTACCTCTGCAGGAGAAGCCCACACGTGCAGGTGCGAGTCGATCACTTTGGCGGAGAAAGGTGCTCCGCCCTCGGTTCCGCTCGCGGCCATTTTAGCTGCAGAAGGCTTCGACGGCGATTTCTGGCGGAATGCGGCGACGACGGGCACGGAGGTGTGGGGATGGATGCAGAGCAGAGGCCTCACTCTCGCCGCCATTTTTAAAGGGTGTGCGCGGATTGTACGGGGAAGATCCATGGATCGCTTGCGGAGAAGCCTGGAAGCCGTCTCGTGCGATGTCAGCCGTCCGATCAGAAGAAGATGGATGATGTAACCCGTCTGATCGGTTCGAACGAACCCCGTTTGTTTAGATCAAGAATAAGCAGGAAAAAAAAATGAAAAAAATTTACTTTCTCGCCAACGTTTAAATTATTGAAGATTTCAAAAAATTATTAAAAAACTAAGAGATAAGTCCATTGGAAATCTTAAAACTCGTTACGAAATTGCAATTGAGTCCTGAAACTTTCAAAAAGTTCGATTAAGTCTAAAGACTTGTCACGAAAGTGTAATTGAATCCTAAAACTTTAAAAAAATGCAAGCAAGTTCTTGAACTGATCAAATTGGTCCAATCAAATCCTTCCGTTGATCGCACTTTTTGAAAGTTTTAGGGCTCGATTGCACTTTTGTGACTAGTTTTAGGACTTCATTGGACATTTTGAAAGTTTTAGAACTTGATAGCATTTTCGTGAATGACTCAATTGCACTTTCATGATAAGTTTTAACAATTCTAGTGCACTTATCCAAAAAAATTATAAGTAAACCTAAGCATCAATATTGATGGTAAAAAAGAAATCTGAATATCAACAGTTTGAGTGTCGTCGGTTTTAGAAGTTTTAGACTCAAAAAACATGTGCGAGATACAAATTGTAATTTAGTAAAGAGTTACAAATAGAAGTCAAGAGGCGGGATCCGATGCATCGAGAGATTGTCGACCACAAAATTATCTTGGTTACCGAAAAAAATTATTCTCATCATGACATGATTCTTAGCCACGTGATAAGTTATGCTTAAATTCAAATGTTCTGTGACATTCTTATACTATTTATAAATGCCATCATAATCGTGTTCGGTGTCCCGACAGGCTATTCATTTTGGCGATAGCAAGTTGCATTATCGTGGTAGTAAAGTTCGTGAATAAAGTTTGTGAATATCCAAAAATTATCACCAACTTTTCCCCATTCGGTGATCATCATATTCAGTGACACCTTACCTTCGAATCAATCTCGTACCATCCCATGGTCCATGGCCAATCCAATTTCCATGTCATACTTCTAAACAAACCGTCCGTGTTCATCCGTACGGAGTTCCCCATTTTCACCACCTCAATTTGCATCAGCCACACTTTGTGCGGCGATCCGGTGAGTAGCTAGAGTTTCACATGGCTCGAGAGAGGAGAAAGCGAGTAAGAGGAGGTCAGCAATGCCTGCACACTTTTTTCGATTCTACTACGAACTTTGCAAACACTCGAGCGTTCGCAATGCCAATAAGATCCAATGTTCGCGATAATTCAAATCCAGCGCCTGTCGGTTTACATTTTCTAGCATATCTAGCTGCACAGAATGCTTATCTTCATCCTCAGGGAAACGTTTTTGGGAAGGCAAAGTTTGTGGAAGAAGACACATCGAGCTGATTAAGTTACAGAGGTCTTTTTTTTACAGCAAAGAGGAGGCTGTGCAGATGCAGATGCAGATGCAGATGCAGACACAGGACAGCTTAATTATAAGGACGACTGACTAAAGAACCCATGATGTGCAATTGGTGATTTCTGGTTCAGTATGGAAGCTCGATAGATCGCGAACGCTTAACCTCGTTCGTGTTGTAAATTGGGAAAAAGATGACAAACATGCGAAAAATTACATGGTACAGATGATCAACAACCCTCAAAATTCAATCAAGAAGCCAAACTGAACATCAACCCGAAACCAAATACCGATGGACCGCTCACCGCCCATCTGCAGAAGAAATCCCATTAGGGATTTTGCTAGGGTCAAGACACAGCTCAGTCTTCTTCATAGAGATTATAAAGCATAGTCGCGAAGGGTCAAGCTAGAACCTGATCATACTCACCTTGATGACCTAGATAATTTACCAGAAGCACCGAGAGCCAGTACTTCATTTCCAGTTGAACCTCAAACCGGTAAAAAGTAGAATTTCCCACACACCATCTTCCATTCTTGCCCCAAAATTCCTTTTCAACCTCAGGAAACCATCCGATGTATGTACTACTAGTCCTCAAGAAATTGCAAGTTGTGCCCTCAAGATCTCTTGACCAGAGTCAACAATGACCCGGAAGAACATGACAATTCCTTCTATTCCCCTGATTCTTGTGAATCATCCCCTTCATCATCTGGGGTGTGTTGTTGCTGGTGATGACCCACCGAGACCGTCTCACCCCCTCCGCTCTGCCCCATCTGCTGGAAAATCTGGCTCAATGACTGCGAATTCAAGACCCCACCATGGCCATCCTGGGATAGGCCAAGCTCCAAACCCGGCATCCTCTGGTTAGACCCACTCAAGAAAGTGGGGAAGCTGATCAGCCCCACATTCATGTTTGGAAACTCGACCCCTTGAAACCCAAACTTTGACACGTAATTCGAGCTCTCACCCCCGATGCTCGCCGCCACAGCCGCAGACTGATCGGGGTAATGAACGAACCCCGGCCTGATACTGCTCACTGGGGGCCAGACCCCGCTGGCGACAACCTGCGATCTACTGAAATTCCCATTCGAAATCGCCAAATTGGCCCTGCCTCCGAACCCAATAAGCGGCCCTACACCCCCCAACCCTTCCATCTTGGTCGAAACAGAGCTGCCCTGTTCCGAAACAGAGGAGCCCGCCACGTTGAGGGCCGAGGTGGGGACCGTCCCGGTCCCAGTGGCGGAAATGATCGACGGCTCGGCTTGCTGCAGCAGCCACTGGATAGTCTCTCCATCGGTCTTGTGACCCAATTCTCTGGTCAATTGGAAAATCCTAGCCGCGCACAGAGCAGGCATCCTGATTCTCCTTCCTCTGCCATCGACCTTCTTGTGCCTGTCCTTGTTGGAGCTTCTCTTCGGCGCCAATTGCTTCTTCGAGTCGTCCTTGCTCGCAATCGCAATCTGGAAGTCTTTGATCTCAGAAGGGTTCTTGTCTTTTGGGTGTTGCTGCTGATTTGAGCCATTGGACTCCATGAGAGTGATGAAGCAGAGAAGGAGAGAGGAGAGAGAGAGAGAGAGAAAGAGACAGAGAGAGGTGAATGAATGGGGCCTAACAAAGACGATCTTCTTCCAAATAGAAAACCCTAGATATTTCCTATGACTTTTCAGTGCAATATGTGAATCGAAGAGAGCTACTGTTTGGAATTGGAACCGCTGAAAAAAAAAATTCAGTCTTTTTTCTTTCAAGTTTTAAAGTCACCCCACCACTCCACTCCACTCCACTCCACTATCCTTCCTTTTCTTCTCTTTTACCGATCCAAGCTCTCCGTCGTTTGACTTTTTACCGCAACCCAAAATTCCAAACCATCGACTTAACCCCACAACTCACCAGGAAATTTTGTCAAGTTCCAACTTTTTTGTTCCGATCTAAATATGGTCTGTAATCAATCCATAAGATGGATGAGCGTGGCAATGAGAATGGAACAATCAGAACACAGAAAAATTTGGAGGGGTTGGAAGATGCTGCTTTCAAGAATTATTGCAGGCACCATAACTGATGACAATCATGGAACTACCACAGACTTTTCCGCACCAAGCGCTGTGAGAAGAAGCTCCATTTCTTCTCCTCTCCTTTGGCATGTTCACACTAGTAAATATCAGAAGCTTCTGGTCCTAAGGGCAAACAAGGGGTCTCTTAGGTTTTCACTGTGTTCTTCTCTTCTTCTTTTTCTCTGTCTTTACTCATTATTATAATTGGGAGGGGGGGACGTTGAAAATTCAAGCAATCATGCGTCAAACTGTGACTGGGGGAATCAAACAAAAGTTGGTTTGTCAGTGCATTGATGTCCCCGTCTCCAGTGTGATTGTACCAGTCGGTTGCTTGTTTCTCTGCCCATGTGTCGTAGTAAATGGGGATGCTCCGTGCGGAAAACAGAGATGAAGAGCCTTGCCCCAAAGCATCAATCACTTGTGTCGATAATCTCTCCATATATTTATTGAAGGAATGTCTTAAGTTGAGTCACGATTACTCTCGTTTGATGGCTTTATTCCCTCGAAAAATACCAACTTTAATTAGAGTGCTTGAACTTTCTTTCATCTCGTAAAAAAAGTATCAACTTTAGCTCTCGTTTTAATTCTGACCTCAACTTTAACTTGTGTCAATAATCTATATATATATATATATATATATATATATATATATATATATATCGAATGAATGTCTAATTTGAGCCACAATTACTCTTGATTGATGGCTTAATTCCCTCGAAAAACACCGATTTTAACGTGAGTCTCAATTCTGCTCCTTTTTTTTTTCTCTTAAAAAAGTACCAACTTTAGCTTTTATCTCAATTATGGTCCCAATTTTTTCTCTGTCTCGTAAAAAAGCACAAACTTTAGCACATGTCCTAATTCTATCATAGAACCTTTTTTTTGGTTTCGTAAGAAGACTTAAAACTTCTAATTGGTACCCAAATCTGATCGATGTCAAGTATCCATCATTGGACAGAAATTTGACGAGGCCTAGATTTGAGTACTTACCGAAAGTTGAGGCTTTTTTCACGAGACAAAAAAAAAATTGGCCAAAATCGGTACGTTGGGTGATTTTTTTGTGCGACAAAAAAAAAGTTTAGGCAAAAATTGAAACACGAGTTGAAATTGATGCTTTTTTGTGAGACAAAAAAAAAAACTTGGACCGTAATTGTGTCTCGAGCTAAGGTTGCTGCTCTTTAAGGGAATTGGACCCTCATTTGACTTAGAGCCCTTATAATAATAAGCTCCAATTCTCTTGTTGCTTCTCGATTTCTAAAGATCATAAATCAGCCGCGATGATGATAAAACATCATCTGTGGCTCAAGTTAGACATTCATCAATAGGCTGAACTATGATTTTTAGAAATGGAGGAGCAGAAGAGATCGAGCATACAGATGGGCTCCGAGATTAACCCCTACACCCACTGGACCGACCACCGCAATTATGGATGTTTTTCTCTTTCTTCCCATGTTACACAATTTGCAGTTCGGTTATCAGATCGGTGGACATGAGATTACCTTTTGATATCACTCGATTTGATGGGGTTTATCTCTCTGTGTTAAGCTTTTTCTTTTCACAAGAAAGTTCATCTTAGATCAACAAAGTTCAAGTCCGCTAACGACTCCCATTAATTTTGGAGGTAAATAAGATAGGCGTGCTATAATTAAGTCGAATGTCATGTGTCAATAGTGTATCAAAGAAAAACTCCTAGTTGAGAACTTATATACTAATGGTCTTTGGTCTTTGGAAACCTGACTATCGTGTGAAATATCCTGCAAGTCCCAAGAATTGCATAAATTTAGATTTTGTTTGTGGCAGTGATCCATGATAGTTTGCATAAATTTGGTGGGATTCGAATGCACGACCTCCAATTTGTGAGTTGAAAATCCCTCAACTCGCCAATCTGAGGGTTAAGTTTATTCTTATTTATATTCAAGAGAGATCCTCAATTATCTTTTTGACTTTCCTTCGGACATATGGGATCAAAATGCCTGCTTATCGGAACCAAATTCTTTGAGGAGATGCTAATATATTACGCACCACCTCCCTCTCTCTCTCTCTCTTCCCCACGCGCGTGCACGCCTCTTTGTTACTTGTGATCGTGGAGTGCACATCAAGGCACAAAACATATAAGAACGGGGCACATTGAGCCTCCCTTCTTCTTGATGATCAGTAGGCCAACATGATTGAATGTCGCAATCAATTCTCCAATCCAATCCAATCCCATCCCATCCCTTAATCATCGTTCCCATCATGTGAACGTACATAGCTTCGTCCTTAAGCCCATTTAAATAAATCTTAGATGCGAAGTGCTACTACGCCTTAACTTAGCATGATAAGTTCCCCTTAACAACGACCGCTCGTTCAGCCAGAATTTATTTGCTTTTCGAGCAGCCAATGACAATCTCGACGACTTCCCGATACAAAATCTCTCCGCTTTTAGACATTATCTTTGGATTTTGCTCATCACAAGTCGTCGGACCAAATATCCGGGCGATGTCCTGTAATGATGCCGGTTGGTGGGTGGAACATATGCATCAAACAGAGAGAGAGAGAGAGAGAAGGGCTTGCGATTTCATGAGTTCTGTGTCACGCTCAACTTGGAATCGCAGCGTTGGTCCCACTTCCCCTCCTCCATTCATTTAGCTCTCGACATATCACCCGATTTCAACTATGAAAGTTGTGTCCTGCTTGTGATGTCGACAATAATTTAGTTTTCGCAAACGTCGTTCTGGGAATGTTCGCTCAAGAAAAATGGAGCTCCATCCCTTTATTTTTTTATCCGTCAGGGGTGTCTGACAGCGACGCTGTTATTGTTTTCTATATTTTGTGTTAGTTCGATTGCATGATTGGATGAACGCCCGACTTTTGTGTTGTCGTGGTAGATAAGCACTAGGAAAATAGTTCGATTTGGATTCAGATTCGTGACGGTCTTCATCTTGTTCGTGAGAAAGCGAAGAGGGTGGAGAGAGTAGTCGAGAGAGAGAGAGCGAGAGAGAGGGATTGGACACTAGCCAAAGGGATCTTCTATCTTCTCTCTCATATTGGTTCTCGGCGATGTTGTCGGATTTGGGAAATCTCGACCCTTCGTCTCCAATATCGAACCGATTATACCTCACCAAGCGACGACGAAATGAGAAAAGAACAAAAGCAAAAGAGAAACATAATCTGCCTCAACGTGACTGATTCTGAATAAGTACACGAGAAGATCCAAAATGACTGTCTGATCAGCAAGACAAGAAAACAGGCCGATCCCATGACCCCTATCTTTTTCTTTCTCCAGAGCAAGACACTGGAAACGGTAGGTACGCGAAATGAGAACTTCGGGTGGATGTGGAGATGGGCCCCCGGGAAATCGATGGCGGAATGTGCGGCGATGACCAGGACGATCAGAACGGGACGATCAGAATGGACACTGCGTCGTTAACTAGTGCCTCGGTTTCACATAAGGTCTGATGTGCCCTTCACCGTTTCTGGGGCACTTCCCTCTACAGTTGCTCATCAATACGATCTTCTGTTTTTTTGTTCTCGGGAAAAAGAGAAAGCTGAAGAAGCCTGAGATCCGTTTTGGATGATTGCATGAATCATCAGAACTGCCATTACTCACAATCCCAACCCCGAAGATGGACTCAGCTTCTTGACAGTAGTTAAGTCGAATGCATCAAAAGAAAGTGGGCCGTTTTGCGGTTTTTCAGCTTCCATACACAATGCCTCCCTGAAGAAGAGAACTCCGAGAAGCCAAAGCAGCGAGGCAAAAGAAACAAATCTGTAACCAGTTTACCTGCTTAGATTTACGTAGTCGAGTTACCCATTTCAAATTTCTTCCATTCAAGGAGAAATTCATTCGTAGAGCCTACACATCCCATTTCTTCCAGGAATTCAAGACAACACCAGGAAACCACGAGACAAACCCTGAAATGCTCATGTTTTGTCCCCTTCCAGATGTGTTAAGAATAAAGGGCGGGAAATAAATGGGAGTAAGCCCTGAAACGTTTTCACAACTTGAGAGCCACATCAATCTGCTCTTCGTTCTGTCCTAGAAACTACTTCTACCTACTAATACCAGGTTTTTTCCTCACCAGAACACCTGGACATTACCCTATTAATCCACTTCAGTAGTGAAACAGAATAACCGAGGTAAGGTATAGAGCTTTCCCCCGTCGGAGCCATGATCTGACCCAGAGGATTTTACTGCTCCATCCCGAGGTCACCCCAACGGACCTTGTATCTTGCTGCAAGATAGTGGGCCCCAACTGGGCCCCGGCTTCCATAAGGGTAGTACTCGGGGATAATCCTCTTCTCCTCAAGTTCTTTCAACACCGGCGTGAAGAGCGACCAAGCAGCATTAAGCTCGTCACTGCGGATGAACAACCTTCTTTCTCCTTCAATTGCGTCTAGTAAAAGCCTCTCATATGCATCTGGGATCTCCTTTGAATATCTGTAAAGCACCAGGATCATCATTACCTTTTTTTTGTGCGCTAATGGCAGCAGAATGTGGTGCAAGTGCTCACCAATTACAAAGCCAATAAATTGCCTAATAACGTATAAGCTATTAAGAAAGTTACCTCGCTGCATAGTGCAGATTTAGATTACTCCGGTCCAATCTCATCCCCAAACCAGGGACCTTGTTATTGATCTTCAAATAAATGGCCTCATCTGGCTGAACCCTAATAACCAGTTCGTTTGTGGCTTGATCGAGATCTGTCCCTATGTTTCGATTATACAGATTACCTGGTACGTGTCTGAACTGCACTCTTATTTCAGCCCTGCGTTAAAGGACACAGCATAAAAACAAAGGCAAAAGGTAAATTTGTGAAACTCTTTGTGAAATAATTAAAAATAAGAAGAAAAATCTGTTCATGACATCTCAAAACCACATTTACCTTTTATTATGCAATGCCTTTCCAGCTTTCATCAGGAAAGGCACGCCATCCCATCTCGCATTATCTATGAAAAGCGCAGCTGCGGCAAAAGTTGGTGTTAGGCTGTCTTTAGGCACAGTGTTGTCATCTGTATAAGCCGGGTAGGTGATCCCTCCTTTAGTGTGGCTCTTGTATTGCCCTATAACCACATCTTCAAGACTCATTGGCCTCATAGAACGCAACACTTTGACCTGGTATATACTTGAAACAATTAGCACATAAACCTATCCAAAAAGGCAAGAGATAATTTAGGTTTCCTGTTAACTACCTTTTCATTCCTGATATCCTCAGCATCCAAACTCACAGGAGTTTCCATTGCAAAGAGTGCAAGTATTTGGAGCAGGTGATTTTGCATGATATCTCTTATAATCCCGTAGTGGTCAAAGTACCTGAAACGTGCAGTGGCATTTAAGCAAACCTTAAGCTTAAGCAGTAGATTGACTAAAAGCTCACCGACAAAGAAACATACCCTCCACGTCCTTCTGTGCCAAAATCTTCCGAAAATATCAATTGCACATTCCTTATATACTGCCTTGACCATAAAGGTTCGAAAATGAGATTTGAAAAGCGTAGAACGGATAAGTTTTCCACAAGCTCCTTCCCTAGATAGTGGTCAATCCTGTAAGAAGTACTGCCGTAGTCAGCTCATACTCAATATTCCCGACCTATAAATTAGCATCATAGTCGATGAAAGCAGTACCTGAAAATCTGATCCTCTTCTAGGTACTGCTTAAGAGCTTTGGTCAAAGCAGCTGATGATTCTGAATCCCGACCAAAGGGTTTCTCAACAATGACCCTAGTCCAGCCATTACCAGATGAAGCTGATAAGCTTGCGCATCTTACAGCTTCAATAAAAATATTTGGCGGAATTGAAAGATAGAAGAGGCGATTAGAGACTCTTCCAGCCTACATACAGACCGATCATAATTGTCCCATGAAATAGAAAGAGAATACTCAATCAGTGAAACAAACAAAAACCCTCACCTCAGCTTATGTGAGGCATGCACTAAATTACTCAACCAAATCACATATACAGAAAGCTCAAACTTGATACAATTGAGTTTAAATTTGAACCGAATTACAAAGAGTAAACCAACAACTCGATTATTTTAGATCAAGCTGTCATAACCTGCGTACTAATAATCACAAAATTAAGGAAAACCACGGCGAATTAGAACAGGATTCGTGATTAGGGCTTGCAATTGGTCACCCCACTCGCATGATATAACCTTGCTGGGGAGTTGCATTTTTGTCACAAGTAATTCTGCAGAAACAAAATCTGGTCTAAAACAAGATGAACTGCTCAACTCCTTTATAAATGATTTGCCCTGACTTACTAAAGAGATACCACACGTTGATTCTGTGACATGAGTTCAGACATATAAACAAGACTTTCAAGAAGTATTCAGTTTTGTAGCAATATATGAGGGATTGGAAACCCGAGCTATCGATTGGACAAAAATAGAACGAGATTATCGAGTTGTTCTATTCCACGATAAAATTTATTCTTAAGAGGGTTGAAAGTGCCATAAACATGCTAGAAGCATAAAAGCGCAAGAAAGTTCGAATATTCAGGTTAATAGTTGTTCCGTCATTAACTATATCAGACAGGACCCCTTTGTAATAAACATGCTACTCATGTTGTGTGGTCTGGTCTCGTTTGACCTCATTCATAAGCCATTCGCGCTTCGTTTTTGGAAATGTGTAATAACCCAATTTGACACGACAATAAAATGACACAGAAGAACAAATTGCCAGCCCCACTTTCCCTTGCATATGCATTAAGATTTTGTGAATTACTAGCAAAGTCAAAACTCAAGTATATTACTAAGATTACCTCGTGCTCCTTCATCTTTTTGTCTAGCTGCGCAAAGTTTTCTTGAGAATCATATTGACCAGAATGATAGAAGCATCGTTTGAGGAATTGGTCCATCTTTTCACCACAGTTCTCTCTGAGAGACAAATAAGATAAAATTTATTTGCTTGATCCAATCTTCCAAAAACCAAAGAGACAGCTTCCAAGAGAGTCAAGCATCTCGTAACGCACCAAAATCCTCAAAAGCAAGATGGACATTTTAAACCGCACAGAAAGAAAAGATAAGAGCTAGTTCACCTCTTATCAATCCGGCACGTGAGTGTCTTGCTAATCATGTTTCTGAGTTCTTCATCGGTCATCTTAGTCCGAGCATAACCGAATATAGTGAAGTGCTGCAAACATAGAACCATCATTACACATCTTGCTTCGTCTACGCATCCACATGAACGAATCGCAGCAAAAGATTTATTTTTCATTTGATTAAACAGGCATACTTCCCATAATTCCATACCTCAGGGAGACAATCTTCATAGTACAGCGCAAAAAGTGCAGGAAATATCTTCTTCTTGGCAAGGTCACCAGAGGCCCCAACAACGGTGATACTGACAGTGGAGCCATTGTTATTCGAGAATGCAGCTGCATCTTTACATTCTTCAGATGATGTAGCCGAGACCAGCCCCTCTGTTAATTTCTTGAAAGGAGTCTCGTTTTCGATTGGTGCTGGAGCTACTGCACCTAAATGAAATGATCAAACAAGTAAAGAAGAAAGGAAGAGAAGTCCCACAATTCACAGCCGTCAGTATCCCACAAAATTGTTACCATTTCCTTAACAATTGAGAGAATGCTTGCCATAAAGGAAGGTTCAGTCACAATTTTCAGTCCATATCTTTGTCCAATGTCCTAGAACAGAGAAGAGATTAGCCCAACAGGGCCAGCTGAACAAAGACTTCCAGATTAACTTGCACAGGTACCATAACTTATCGTCGCCACTCAATCAGATATCAAGCCAAGCGTTCTTAAACCTGACCGCATAGTTTCCAAGAAATCGCGATAAACGATGGAGAGAGTCCTAAAATATCTACACAACCACCCAACACCTCCAACTCTGATTAATCATTTCCATTCAACACCAACAACAACATCGGAAATTAAAAGGACATCGTTCTGTGATTGGTAGCCGTATAAACAGGCGACAACTTAATGAGTTGGGCCGATTCCAAAACCGAACCGACAAAATGACCAGCGAGCTAATGCAATCGCAGCAATAATATGCAAAATGATAATTCAAAAAAGGACCGAAGACGAAGATGACCAACCATCTTGCATGTGGACGGCGCTCGTGAAGCATTTCCCGTGGAACCGAGAAGAAACCTTAGCCGAACAAAACCGCCTCGGAATCGAAGATAACGCTATCCGCTGATGACGGCGTCCACACAACGACGGCGGCGGCGCGTGGGACGACGAAGACGACGACGACGACGACGGCGGCGGCGGCAATGGAGTCGCGTAGGAGCGACAGCTCGTCGAAGAAAGCGTCGCCATCCAATCCAACTTTCTTGAACAAGAAGAATAAAAATCGGAACTTTCTTCCTTGTATCGTCCAACGGAATCCCGCCCAACAGGCGAGCAAGTTCCTCCTTCGATCGAAGACGAAGGGCGGCGAAAATGGGTTTCCGATTGTTTGGGGAATCGAGAGAGCTTATGAAGGGTTCAAGAATGGCGTTCGATCAAGAAGAGGAGGAGCTGCTTCGGAGATGCCGAGGGGCGAGTCCCTTGAGATCTCCGAAAGGCTGGTTTCGTCTTTGCGACAAGGAATCGCACCCCCCCCATCCAATGTTTTATTTTCTTCTTCTGAGAAGCAAGACAAGTGGTGCGTTCCGGTCTTAATTTTATTTGCTTAATTACTTTTGTCGTAATCTGGGGGATTATCTGTTGATTAGTAGTTGATTAAGTTGATTAATCTCTTCCTTACCAGCCAAGCCTAAGCGGCTAAGCCCGATATACCTCATGGTACTAGACCCCGTAAAAATATCAGGGAAAAGGAAAGAAGCGGCGGATGAAGCATTCCAAACATGAAACTATCAATTGACCAATTCAATCTCAAGCGACTCATTTTGCATCATTGAGTAATTGTTAGGTACAAAACCTCTAAATTTTTTTATCGAAAAACTTGGTTGGTTGGTGATTCGAGTGACAGCCCAAATTTGGTGTTAGGTATGGACCGTGGATCCTTTAAATCAATCTTTCTCTTTTTTAATGACATTGCTGTGGATCATGTGAGCTTCTTTTGTCACTTAACTGTTGATTTGGCAAAAGCTATAGTAGCATTGGCACAAGACTTCCCACATGATGCACACCAAATTGATGAGGGCTGTGAAATAAGTAATTAAGATATACGGGTTGAACACCGGACGTCAAAATTAAAAAGAGCCTCTCTCCAAGAGCCTATGTCGCCCAAAAGAGAGATCGATGGAATTCCCTTTATAAGATTGAGCTTTTTGGATAGATCATACCGTGATCGTGTTTCATCGGAAAGGATATCCGACGAAATACCTTTCACCGAAATTAATTCTTCGGTTTTATCAAGGCGAGACGGATTTTGTAGCAATTCTGAATAGGAATCTCAATAAATCACAAAGAACGTATATACTTTGTCGGAATTTAATCGACGGCGAAGTAACCAGAATTTAATCTACGATAAAGTGCGTTGATAAAGATACAATATCGGAATTTAATCGACGACGAAGTATTTGAAACTATGTCTGAAATCGGAAAAGTAAAGATAAAGATAAATTGGCGAGAACGTAGAGTTCTTTGATTGATTGAAGGGGCTTTATAAAGCGTACACTTGGGGTATACATAACCATTACAAACGGCATTTGCAAATTTTGAAAAGAACAAATAGCTCCCTTTCGGTGGTTACAAGTTACTTCACGAACGGACAACGGTTATCTTTGTGTCGATTGCTCGATGACTTTGTCGAGAAACTTCGAGACTCTCGTCGATAACTACACTTTGTGTTGTCGATGACTTCATTGGCGAGTTATCGATTCCCTTCAAGTTATCGGTAATCCTGTGCATAAATGACCAAATTTTGCCCTTACCGACTAACTCTATAACCAAAAGTTGGTCGTTTTTTGGTGCAAATAGATTGTAATGAAAGCGGTTTGACCACACGAGAAGGATGCGGATTGGTATTTGGGAAAAGTATCCGGAAAAAATTGCCGTTGAGCAAGCGGAGGGAAATCAATTAAAAAGGGCAACGGCTTGTTAAATTAGCTCTCGTCGAAATGGGGCTCGCCGTGGTCCCGAAAGGACCAATGAAGTAACCATCTTAGTGACGTGCGAGATTATTTTAGGTACCATCGAAATAATTTTATTAAATATTTCGCGTAAAAATTATGGAGGAGAAACGATACACATCTCTGCTTATTTCAGCAGCGTGATACGTTTTTCCCGCATTTATTTATAAAAGAGAAATTAGTTAAAATCCGATATGACGTACTTGACCGGAAAATTGTCCCGAAAATCCAAAATCTATTGCACTCTGTCTAATGCGGTTTTAAACATTTCAATTTTGCCAATCGAGTCTATTCGGCCAGTTTTGACCGGAAAGTGACGACGTGGTCACTGGCGGTCCCACATGGCACAGCCGGACATAGGACCGCCAGCGACGGTCGATTCTAACGATGGCATTTTTTAAATATTTTTTTTGAAGATTTAACAATTCTTTTAGTTTTTTCTTTTCTTTTTTCTTTTTCTTTTTCAATTACTTTTCTTTTCTTTTCTTTGCTCCTTGGGTCGCCAGCCACAGGCACCCTCACCATCCCAGGGAAGGGTGTCACGGCCTCAAGGGTTCTAGGTTAAGGCCGCGACTCGCCAGCCACAGGCACCCTCACCGTCCTTGGGAAGGGTGTCACGGCCTCAAGGTTCTAGGTTAAGGCCGCGACTTCCTCGTACAGTGCCAGCAAGGGCGTTCGGTGAACCTTGCTGGCGCTCAGGCCAAAAAGAAAAGAAAAGAGAAAACTAAAAAAAAATTATTAAAAATGTCCTTGTTTGCATCGACCGTAGCCAGTCGTGTCACGTAGGACCACTGGTGACCACGTAAAAATGTTTAGGATCGAATTTAAAAAGTTTATGACTGAAGTGGTCAAAATGCAATAGTTCTTGTCTAATAAATACCAGAATAAGATCGGATTTCTAGGGGGCAATGTTTGACCAGCTTGAGTTCAGATAATTTGGACATGTATTTCAAATGTTATGAAAGCAAAGAACGAATGGGTTGGGCTAGACTCGGAAAATCAGAGGCTCGAATTAGGACTCGGGCCTACCACAAAAGCTTTGCTCCTTCTTGATCTCACATCCATCAATAAATCAAGTCCAAGGCATCTCTACCCCTTTCTTTTGGGATGATTCCGAACCCCACAATGCCTCGAGACGATAGTCGATCACTCATTAAAGGTCCGAAACATTGGTGAGATTGGTCCAAAAGAAGCAAAAGTTCCCGCTTATCACATGAGAACTCTCATCGATTCCTTTTCCCACCACCGGCCATAGCTAAGCCTATGAATCCTGATCATGTCGTACACTTGCGATTGTAGTTGCCCACGAGCGTTTCTTTTCCTTTGTTAATTTAGCATTTCTCGATCTGTAGACTGGGTATTAGAGAGAAAGAGATATCATCAATTAGGTTCTTTCCACGTGATCAATTTGCTTTTGAAGCGAAGCAAGAGGTTTCGGATGGATTTGGGATCTACCTTGGCCCCTGCTGGAATGTTCGGTTTAAGGCTCCGATCAAGCGCATCAACTATCCATTAGGCGAGCCTATCATCACGGCACCATGCACCAAGGGTAAGTGGGGGAAGCGCATGCCCGTGATTCCCCTATCTTGTCCATCCGATGATAGTTTGGGAATTTAATCCGTGACACGCTTAACTTTCTATGTTGGGACGTGATTACTTTTTTATATAGTCAAATTATTTGGCACGTGGAATCAATATCAACGTGTTTTACACGGACACGGATTGACACGAATTGCAAACACGATTATGACACGGCAACACGAATTGTCTAACCCTCTCATGTTACCGAAATCACTGCATTAGTATCGTAAGCACAAAGGACCACCCATTTTTGCGCCGTTCATTATATAGTTTCTTAAGCTGCTAATCCTGTACCATGGGGGTAAAAGGCAACTAATTAATGTGGTAAATGTGTACTTTGTCGCAGGGTTTGGCCCAACTCTCTTTAGTCAAGTATCATTACCTAAAGGCAACGCCGACGATGGCATTGATCAGGAGACCACTGAAACAACAACATCGTAAAGGATCACATGTCAGGAAAATATCTTCACCAACAACTTCCATGCTTACAAGATCTAATAAGAGAACTGCGAAGAAAACGGAAAACCCAAGGTAAATATGTTCACCCGCGCCCGGACAGCTTTGTAATTAGAGCGCTTCCTTGCTAGATTAAGGTTGCGCGACGCTAACCCACTGGACCTACAGGGCCATACATGCGCGACAGGGACCGAAGACACCCGAAACCCAACTTCTTTAAGATGCCTCAGCAAAGCAAACGTTATTCATACTAAGGTCGATTCACAAAAATTGACAATATACAACGCGGTTTGGTAGATTGTAAGTAAATATTTACGCAAGGTGGATCGAATTCAATGATTAATGATAACTTATCACGTACTTGTCGTATGGATTTTGCAATTCGCGTTTAATACAAGAGATAGCGTTCCCACTTGCATGGGCATGTGATGAGACAAGAGGCTTTGGCCCTGCTTTTTTCCGTGAATGCGGAGCCACTTCACGAAGTACGGAGGCCAACTCTTCGGAGCTAAGGAAAGAATATCAACCCTCCTAACACCAAGTCAAAGATCAACAAAACTCAGAAAAGGTCAGGAGACCTGAATTATCGCGTCATTGCGGAATCTAAGCAATATATATTGCTTAATCTATTGCGTCATTACCTGAATTATTGGGTCATTACATTTATTTAGCTAAAGAGCTTGAGAATTTGAGCAATATATTGCTTTATTGCAACCGCAATCATCGCGTCACCAAGGAGTAAATTGCCAAACCTAAAATGTACCTATTTATCGTTGCATACATATAGATAATCCCGGATGACTAGACGCAAACTCTTGAAATGAAACGGTACAACTCAAAGGGAAATTTGTAAATTGTGAAAAGTGCGCATGCGTGCAAGTTATTGTGAATAAAAAAAAATGAAGATGGTTTTTTTCCAATTAACCCTAATCTCTAATATTCAAGATTCTGCATATGTAATAGAGCAACGAGCATTTTGAAATTCACTACTTTTCGACGCAGAGCATGCTCAATCATGAAATATAACTTTTTGAGCATTTCATTTCTGTTTTTCAAACTCATTATGTAGGAGTTTGTTCCATCAACCTCTTTTTTCATCGACTAAAAAATTTCAATCTATGGAATTTAGATGCGGGACTTTGTTCTCATCGACCCGAAAAATCGTTATAATTTTCAGTGCTAATAATTGCAGAGGCAAAAATGTGCGCAATCATGGGATATTACTTTTTGAACATTTAACTTTTCTTTTAATAACTTGGACGTAGAAATATGTTTCATCAACTTAAAAACTCAGCCAATAATAATATTTCAAAACAGAATCAGTATGTTCATACAATTCTAGATCGATCGCATGCAAACGAGTTAGAGAGTTGCTAGGATCATACATTTGCTGAAGTGACTATGAAAGATAAACTCCTAGCTGAAGCTCGCATGGGAGCAAGGCAAGCTTATGCCCTAACGCGCGCACATTAGAGATCGAGCTTCAAGCCACCTTTGTCTGTTAACCCTGGCAATGAATTCTTCAATTTTCTTCTGCAATTCCTCAGCAGGAATCCCATCCTCCTCTTGCGCATTTCTCTCATCTTTTTCTTCCTCACCATCATCTTCTTGTTGTTTTTGTTCGGCCTCTTGTTTGTCATCATTATCATCACCCGACTCCTTTTCGGTCTCTTCTTTTTCTTCATCATCATCTTCTTGTTGTTCTTGTTCAATCTCTTGTTTGTCATCATTATCATCACCCGACTCCTTTTCCCTCTCTTCTTCTTCTTCTTCTCTCACCTCATCTCCAGTCAATCTCTCATCCTCTGATTCCCTCGAACTCTTGCTTCCCGGGCAAGCGGAGGGCATATTCCTGGTTCGGCTCCTCTCGACATACTCTTCGTAGATCTTGTTGCGTGATGCAGCGGATGAGTGCAGGCCTCCGAGCTTCGACTGTCCAAGGAGGAAGGCGACGATGGCGTTCACAACTAAGAACAGATACTTTGGACTGAGCAATGACGTCCCGACATGTGGGAGGGTGATGTACAGGAAATGCTCGACGGAGGGCAACCAAAAGGGATAGGAACAGAATAGACTGCACGTCAGTGCAGTCAAAAGGTAGGGGATGAAACTATATAGAAGATGGTGGTGATTCTTGAGCTTGCGATTCCTCATGGCAGTTTGAAGCTTCAACGATTCGATCGAATCCATCTCTTTTAAAGTCTCAAAGAAAAGATCCTCTATAAGGTTTGTGGTTGAGAATTTCAAAGAGCAATGAAGAGAATTAATCTCTTCCCGCTGAGGACTTGATGAGGAAAGTTGATGAGTGAGATTTCACATCTGACTGAACATAGAGCAGTGGAAACAAGGCCATTTATAGTGTGGGAAAAGGGGGATATTTCTAGGGAGAGATTCTGTGAATAATGTTGCCCTAACTTTAATTGTTGTTTTTTGCTCCTTTCTTCTTCTTTTCTTTCTTGGGAAGAATTGCTTTTGGAAAAGTAATGGGCTGATTAAAAATGTGCTTATTTGGGTGCCTTTGTTTAGCCCCTCTTGGTGCCCGTGCAGTGTGCCATTTGATGGTTTTGAAGTTTCCAGCTAGTTTAGGCGCATTATCTTATCCATTCATTTCTTCCTATACATACATTTTTGACCATCCAATGAGGACATCTTTTGCTATCCATCCTCATGCCATGGGCATATATTAAGACCGGTCGATAAAATTACAATGTTATGTATCGTGACAGGCTGTAAATGGACATTTAAATGATAACCATATTCAATACCCAATATAAAAAGTCTGCCACGTCTTTGTAAGCTAGCTTTTGTATACATCACTTTTCTCTTTTTATTCAAGAATTCTATTTCATCTTTTTCCCCGTCACGATAAAAACTAAATGAATCACGTTAACAAATGCTCTTGAGGTATTTGTTAAAACAAACTTAACAAGGAATGCTTTGCTATCGAGAGCATTGATGGATAAAACAAAAAGTTGCACATTGAAAAATTATAAAATTTATCATTCGATTGCTTAACAAGTGTTCAAGTTGACAGGCATGGGATATTATTGCAAGTGCTGAACGTTATACATTGGCCTTAAACAATGCCCAAACTTATGGATCATCCGCATGATTGGTCGGCAGAAGTTGTGTCAAACGTACGTTTATATTCTCTAGTTAAATATTAAATGTACAAAGCAAGCATGTGCATTTGGGTTTGCTGGCTTTATCTTTGGTGATGCAATGCCTTTATGCTATTATTTTTGGTGGCACGTTTTGAAAGCAGAGCAAAAAAGTACTGCCTTTACTCTCAAATTCTGTCCACAAAAACATCTGCAATTCCTCCGGTTGCTGCATTATAGTTTGGATCACCGATGGTTGCTGCATCCATCGTTCCTTCGGCTGGCTTATACCTCAAAAAGGTGAAATTAGACCACCGATGTGTGCGCTCGTTAAAATTAACGATTTGGAAAACATACATTTTTTTAAAAGTACCCGCTTACTAACGAACGGAACACAAAATGTTTACATCATCAATGGAAATGTTTGGCGATAATGGAGATATTTTCATGTAGACTCATTTTTCTATGCGATAAACGCGCAAATTCAAAGGGTAATTGCAATCGCTTAATTTATATTTAAACTACGATAATCGATCTTTCTTGGCACGAGAGGACTGAATTTTTCTTTTTGGAAACAAAAGGAAAACTTCCTATGCTGACGTCAAGTATTAACAGGAGAAGATATTCAGGTTTATAGCTTCTCATAAATTGAAATGTCTCAACAATAATCATGTGTTTAATGAGACTTTCACGACGCAAATTCTATAAAGTGAAAAAAGCATGGAGTTTTTCGAGGGGCAAAATAATCAGGTTTTTTTTAACTTACCTTTTTTCCAGTTCTGTTCTGGGGAGTAACTATGCAAGGTAGTGAAGATGGGTTGTAAAGTAAGGTCCACTAGGCAAGCAGAGCACACGCATACTTTGTTGGATTTCTTGTGTAGTTCTTTCAAATTTTTTTCATGACAATTTCGGGTTGGATCGCAAATCAAAGTTGATTTGCATGACTTAAAACCTTTACCAGTGTCCTGACATTTCCCTGTTGCTCATATGAGTTGAAGGTACAATGAATCGGTGTTCTTGCTTTTGCAGAAATGGATGGATATTCTCAAAAGATTCCATACGAAAAAGACCACTACAGCCCCAATAATTACCAGAATGACATACACAGAGAGTATGAAGCTTCGCAGGGAGGTCCCCAAAAGCATGGTGAAGGGATAAACTAGGCTTCCCAAAGATTCAATAATAATTGAGACAGGTTTCAACTAAGGGCGAAGCTGCTTTGAATTTTTTTCTCCTCCAAGTATTGGGTATAATAAGTTGTTACCAATTAGAGATCCCTATTTTGCAAGTTTTTTCCGAACCGAGAGGATTCCGTGGGCTAGTCGGCTTTTGAGCAAGCTTTTCGAATGGCGGAAAAGAGCAGCTCGAAGTGCATGAACCCTGGTTGCCGCGAGCCTCAAAGTGCGATAGTCTTGATGCGAAATCTGGCAGAATGTATTTCGGGAAATCAATGGAGTTTTACCCCCAAAAAGCAGATGTTATAAGTCGGGCAAAGAAACATCGGCATCTGATTGATCACAGCCAGAAATTTATCAAGATACGAGTGCAGCACTCCAAACATGCAAATCCCATGAACTAGCATATCTTCCTCAAATAGTAACGGGCAATAAAGAAAACCATTACAAATTAAGGTGGAGGTGTAAAGTTTAAGACTCAGGCCAATGTGTCAGTTTGTGTATCTCCTTTGTTCTGCAAAAATTCAAGCAAAATTCTCGAAAGTGTCTGGATTTTATACAATATAAATCATGAGATTGTGGAATGAAGACTTCAACACAGGTTCACCGGATGGCAGACTGGCGCAAACCAAACTCAATTTCATCATTGATGAACTAAATCCAGTATAAGATACAAAAAAAAAGGCACTATCCTCGCTTGAATTGAATAGTGCCAGGACAGTATCAGCGCCCCCACAATGAACTCAACCACAAGAAGAACAGCTGGGAAAAACATCAAGATTACTACAGATTACTCTGACTGCAGGCACAAAACCTGCAAGACAACTAATTCTCGATGAAATTGACAAAGAAAATGGATGGCTATGACTAAAAAAAAGAGTCCTCGACATCTAAGGAAGAATCTGGAGAACCAGATTGCCGGCCATACACTATGGAGGAAAAGAATGAACTATTTTCTATTTCTAACTCTAGGGCACAAAACTGCATGGAGGGTGGCTTCAAAGTACTTCAGCAACTTTCTCTAGAGATACAAGGGAAGCAGGATGAGCAATGAGGGGTTCGTAGTGATCAGCTCCGGCACCACACCACCCTGCACGTTAAAATCAATTGTGAGGCATCGTTAAATCCAGATGGAGAGTTCACAATTCCAGACCAACTTGCTAAAAGACAGCAATTTTGACTTCTTTTTTCCATTTTGTTTCTTTTGGTTTTCTGGGAAGCAGGCAGAATACCAAATTCATTTACCTGTTCCTTTCATGAAAAGGAATAAAGGAGGACCACGTATTTGACTTCTTGGACGATGAGGGAGGAAGAAAACACAGTTGTCTTCATCGACCATTGCGTCAGATCCGTGGGCTTGCACCTGAAAATGACAACATCTTGTTAAAGGATGATCACTCGGAAACTCTTCTAGTTTAGCAAGTAGGGGGGAAAATGGATTAAGAGAGCATAGCAACTATACATCAAGGAGCAAGGAAAGAAAATAAGAAGGGAAAAACAATATATTTTAAGGACTTTAAGTATCGTAAGATATGAAGCAAAGAGAACGGCTATCACCAAAACATATTATGAAGCAACCCAAAGATATTGCCCTACAAACAGTAATGTAGACCTGCTGTTCATTAATAGAGGGTTCTCAAACTTCAAACTGCCAGATAATTATGTTCAAAACATAAAGCCTGCAGAAACAGCGTAGGCCAGCAAAGGCGAAACGTCCAATCTTGTCTGGTTAGGCTGTGATTGCTACTCATTCAAATCAGTGACAGTTATCTGCCAACCGTTCCCAGCTAAGGCCTATCAACAAGGGAGAGTGATGTATAACAGAAAACCAAGAGGCACGAGAAGGAAAACTGTAGAAGTTTCAAACTCTCCAACCACATTGCTAACTAGAAATTGCTTCACTGGCGGGACAAAAGGAACCCATAAACCAGGAGTTGCAGCAGCTCCACTTGGTCAGATGTGAGAGAGAGAGAGAGAGAGAGAGAGAGAGAGAGAGAGAGAGTAAAGCGAGGGTTAAGTCCAACGATAACCCAGCCAAGTCCTGGATGACTCAGCATAAAGTTGAGGAGTTACTAGATTTCCAAGGAAAGCCAATGACATTTTAGCTAACCGCAGGGCTTACGTAGTGTGCTCTAAGCTCAAATAAACTCTGTAGTATCCTTGACATCTCAAGAATTTGAAACACAAAAATCCTTGAATGGTCCTTGTATCTCCCAAGTGTAGTGGTAGCAAGGACATATGCAAGAGACCAGTTAAGTGCTAAACGAATATAAATTTTTAAGCTAATTTTCCAAGCTAATCTACCCCGGAAGTAGACTGCCTATACCATGGCAAAAGCATTACTTCAGAAACGATGACCGTAGCCAAAGTCTGATAAGATACAAATAAATATCAAGATCATAGAACCACCAGATATTTACAGAAGAAGAATAGGAATAGCCCAATCAAAATTTATTATGATAAAGAGAAAGAATTTTACACTCACCACAAAAATCTCTCGGTTGAACTCAGTTGCAAGGCATTCAATTGCTATGTCATCACCAAACGCTGCAGCATGACCTTCTCTATTCTCATCTACAGATAATAAACCCTCCTCAGTGTACTGCAAAGTGATGATATCATATTCATCGTCAGATGAACCGGAGATTGACATGTATTTGGCCCAACTTGAGCCATCATTCACGGGAATGCATCTCTCTTTGTAAATAGATTCCGCCGCCATTTCTCTTCAATAAAAAAACAGGATTGCATCAAGAATAGTAAAACCAAGATTCAATTGAAACTGTGGAACCCAGTTCAGTTCAAGAGTGCAACTTTGTTCCTTCAACCTTATTACATTCAATGTCACTATAATACATGTAGTAAGCGTACATTCTTCAAGTTTCAAGAAAGAAAATTCAGTCAGTCATAACTCATAGCTCTCCAAAGCGACATCTGGGTAACATCGCAAACAGAATTGCAAAATCAACCGAACCAGTTTACTGGTTTAGTTCGATTTTTTCTCCTGCAAAAAATAACAAGAAAACGAAGGTCCTGAAAGCCATGCCCTTGAAGAAAACTTCCTAATGACCAAAATCCCAGACGTTAATTTCTGGCTCAAACCCTAGCTTGACTCCAGTAAAGGTAAAAGAAAATCAAGAATCCACAAACTTTCTTGTTTCTCTCATTTCTTGTCTTTTTTCAACCAACCCAAAGCAGGCAGTCAACAAATCCAAAAAACCAAATCTTGACAAACTACGACCAACAAAACCCGCAAAAAGAATGCGTCATTTTGTGGTGGAAAAATACACATAGATTGCTACCTCTGCATCCCAAGCTGAGCCAGTTCTTCAATGGCCGAATCAAGAGCAACCCTGTCCTCTTTCTTTGCCAATAGCTTCACCTCCTGAACCACATGAACCCCCCATCCGCTCTTCAGATCCGGCGAGTACATGTGCCGGATCGCGCCCTCCACCGCCTCCTTCTCCTCCCCGGGCGCCGATCCGAGGCCCTCCGAGAACCGCCCCACCACGCGCCGCCTCAGGCCCCGCGCGTCGCCCCCACGCGCCGCCGCGCCCCCGCCGTCCCCGCCCTCAGCGACGCCGTGAAGAGGCAGTTCCCGTCGGCCGACACCTCCCCGCCGTGGGATAAATAGAAGACGACCGGCGGCGACTCCTTGTCCTGCGGGTGCCGCCACAGGACGCCCCTGGAGCGGAGGCGCTGGAGGCGGCGCCGCTGCTGGTCCTCGAGGCCCGCCACGTCGTCCCAGGAGGCCGCGATCTGGTGGCCGCCGGGGAGATCGGCGTCGGCGGAGGCGGCGGCGGCCGGGGCGGGATCGAGGGATTCCGCGTCGACCGCCCTCCAGGGCACGATGGCCGTCGACGCCGGGGACGGGAATGTCTCCGCCACCGCCGTCGAATCGCACAGCAGCTTCCCCATTGTCAAGGATCAAAAGATCCCCTTCTTTCCCCCCGCCCCCCCGCGCCCTTTTTCGCGTATGAATTTCTGCCGTTTCTTTTCCTCCTCCTCTCCTCCTTCTTCTTCAATGGAGGCGTTGCAGAGAGAGCGAGAGAGAGAAAGAGTTAACGGATAGATTGGCTACGCGGGAGAGAAACGGGGACACGTGTGGCAAATCTGGGGGCTCCTTTTTAGAGGGCAACGTGCCAACGACCCCTCCCCCCGGATCGTTGCTAACGTGAGCAGGGTGGACCACTGCGCACCCCATCCTCGACCAGTTGTTTTCTTCTTTTGGTTTTTTTTCAAACAAATAAAAATAAATAAAAAGGGAAATTTCCCCATGTGGAATTATTTCTCTATTCAGCTGCTAGACGTTATTAGTTGGCAAATGGGAGGGCACATATTCTTTTTGAATTTTTTTTTGTCGGGCCCAATAGGAAATTGACACGGGAGCATTTCCTTGGGGGGGGCGCGCACATTTGACTAATCCGAAAATTGGTCTGAAAAAACGGGCGAAATCACCCCCCCCCACACGGCGCCGCGGCTTCGAGGTTCCGAGGGCCGGCGCGCCATCGCTTCGGCTCCCCGGCTCCGGCTTAACGGTCAAATGGTGACGTGGCGCGTCCCGATTGGTCCATCGGCGGGCGAGAAACTGTTGTGTGCGGGAAAATGGGAGGGAACGGCAATGCCCTTGGGATTTTTCCTTCTAATTTTCTCAGCTTTTTGGCGATTTATCCGAAGAGGCAAAAAGCAGAAGACGTGGCTGCCACGTTTAAAATTGCCAGAGACTCGAGTCATCGCATATTTATTTAGTTTATTAATTAACACCCTAAAAAAAATTAACGATCAATATAAAATTATTATTCTCTTATTATCGTATTTTATCGCCATTCCGTATTGAAAAGATATTGCACATCATAAAGGTCGAGTGTACATGCATGAGAGCCAACATTTGTTATTTACATCCTATGTATGCGATTGGTATGAATACAAATTCGCTTGCAACCGTGTCATGTTGGTATAAAAAACATTTTCACTGTCCACAAAAAATATTTTGTGTCAATAATGAAAACATATTTCATTATTTTGAGAAATCATTTTTCGAAAAATATTTTTTAAAATTATTTATTTTTCACGAAACAAACGGAGATTTGTCCTTAATAGAGGAAGAATGACAAAAATTGGAAAAAAAAAACCGAAATTATCCCATCTTTTATCTCCGTACGCTTTGCATCCTTACTTTCAATGGCAAATTACACCATTGAACTTATGTGATTTTAAATTGTACCAAACATTGGCAATTATACTAATGTTATTTATCAAATCATCATTATTCTTCAAAAAAAAAAAATGTCACCACCACGTTTTAAACTTCTTCGTCGTCGTCACATCACTAAGATATCACCAAAATTCAAGTAAGCCTCTTGCTTCTTTTCTCGTAGCTCCTTTTTTGCGTCACTTTCTAATGACAAGGCTTAAGGATGGTTCTGATGCATTGTGTACTTGTCTTGAAATCCCAAACCATATATATGGTTCTTGATCGCTCTTCACGTTGCATGCAACATTGAATTTCACCCGGACGAGATTTGGGTTTGATCGAAATCCTACTCCGGTGCTTAGCGATGCCATCTGCGGGAAGAGGTTGCGTCTCGGGCCTCCCACCTTAACCGTGTTGGCCACCATATGAACATTTCGGACTTGCGGAGGGCATTACCGCCACACCGGGGGTCTCAGGGGCGCCGGATGTTCAGGGCCAATGCCACACTGGGGGACGACCGTGGGGGGTTGGCATTGTTGTTGGCTCAGTATTTAGTAGGCTGCTGCCTTATCTGATGCATTGTTGAAACGTAGTTAAGATTGTTTATATGAGTACGCATTTGCGAAAATAATTACCTCTGTAAGAAATCGCGACAAAATAGGAATGTTGTCACCAATGATCTACTCTATAGCGACAAAAAAATCAGTTTTGTCGCAAAGGAGAAAACAAGAAGAGACATTAGGCCAGGAAAAACTAGTTTCGTCGTGCTTTGGTTGAGCAAGGGCGACGAAAACAAAAGTTCGTCGCCGTTGAATTGAGCAATAATGATGAAATTTTTATTTCTTCGCGTTTTGATAAGACCGGAAACTCATCAAACAAAGACAGAACTGAAACTTCGTCCCGTTAGAGCAGACCAGATTTGTTTTTCAGCGACGACAGTGGTGATGTGTTGTTTTGGGTTATGTTTACGGCGGTCAAAGTGGATTTTCGTCCTGATTTGGACACGACCAAATATTAGGGGTGAGCATGAGAACCGGACCGAATCGGCTGAACAGTTCTTGTGGGAACTAATCCAATTCTTGATTCTAAGTGTGGACCGAACTACCTAGACCGATAGTTTTTTTTTTTTATGCCAAAAGGCTGCAACGCACATAGACACGCTCTTTGCAAGAGTATGCAATAATTCAAAAACAATGTTCTTTCCAATCCCTCATCCGGTTCCAGTATTCCATTCCCCGCCAAGGAGCAGGGAAAAAGAGAGAGAAAGAAATCACGCCGGTTCTAGGATCAGGTGGGCCGGTTCCCGGTTCTAAAAACTGGGACCCAATCCTTCTACTCCGGTTTTTGTTTCTAGGGTGAAAACAGCCCTCCCTGAAATCAATCACCCCAACCGAATATGACTAAAGTAAAAGTTCGTTTTTATTGGATTGAGCAATAGCGACGGATTTTATTTTCATCGCCTTTGATCTAAGCAATAGTGACGACGTTCTTGTCATCTTTGGTCTTAGCAAACACGACGAAATGAATCTTTAGGTGTTTGTATGATTGTTTCTGATGTATGTAAACTTACGTGAAACCATATGAAAACAGCTTAGGCCTTAAATGTACAAGACACGTTGGCAACCATACGTGTCCTTTTTTGAAATGTTTTACAATTAAGCACAGTCTAAGCTTGATCTGCTTAGAAGAGATTTGTACTCCTCAACGAGCAGTGTGGTTTGCTCCAATTATTCATATGAATTCTCTTTTAGGTTCTATAGTTAATTGACGAGTAGGACGAGAGCGGTATTGACGGGGGACTTTCGGGGGGTTGATTTTCGTATAGCTCTGAGATAGTCGCGCGTATTTTTTTTTGTGCAGTTACTTTTGCGCATATTTCACGTCTTTTTGGTAGGAGAACCGTCGTGCCATTCCTTCTAGTTCTACTTAGGTGGAGTTTGGTACGACGATATTGATGATGTTGGCGCCCCCCTTCAACAGAGAAGGAATTTTATTTTATTTTATTTTCTTTTTTCCGGTTTATGGAAATGATACGTCCGACTTTTTGTTAATGTGGATCGAGCCCATAGTCCACGAAGCAGCCCGGCCCAGCTTAGGTTATAATCTTTGAAGAAGCATTTCTTGGGTTATGTAACAGGTCGTAATCACGCATATTATGGTAATTTCCATATTAATTATCCGAACAACAAAAATCTGGAAAGCCCCTAATCATTGTTTTCTTCTTCTTTTTTTCGCTTGTCCTTTTGAATCCTGTTAACAAACATAAGATTTTATATAGCTTAGTTTGGTCCTTGTTTTCCTCTTTATTTTGTTACTTTTAAAATCGAATTACTGGAAAAACATTTGATTTTCGAATTATCTTTTAAATATGGAAGCGTGCTTTAATTTTTTTTTTTTCAAATCAATCCGTCGATATGAAAATCATATTTAGGATGAGAAATTGGAGAATTATGATATTATTGGCAGATGGTGCAATTGATCCTAACTTTAGTGTTGTATAAATAAATTCCAACGAAAAACTTTCCTTTTTTTTTTTTTTCAAAGAAAGATATTGACGATGAAATGATTTGTTAGCTGAAAATGTGTTGTACTTTAATTTCGTATTCAAATCAACCCGTTAATGCAAAAATCAAAACTTAGGACGGGAAATGGAATATTATGATATCATTGGCAGGCAGGTGGGGCGATTGATGCTAACTTTGGTATTATATAAATAAATTTCATTTTTTTTAAGTTCTGTTTGTTTCGCCAAATATGAATGATCTGGAAAATATTTTCCTAAAAATAATAACTTGTATTGTTTGGGAAAATGAACGAATAAATTTTTTTTTATCGTCCACGAAAATATTTAGACATAAATTGTTGTCGATAATATAACATTCTTCATTAACTAATTATTTTAAATGATACAAGCAATTATTTTTTAAAAAAATATTTTTTAATTATTTATTTTTCGCGAAACAAACGAAACGTAAAAATAAAGATATTAGGGATGAAATGATTTGTTAACTGAAAATTACCTAGAAAACTTTATTTTTTCCGGGGTATCGGTAGGCCCATTCTAGCATGTTTCGAACAACGAAGCACACGAGGTGCTGATGCAAGATAAGAAGATGGGGCCCCCACTCGCATGGAGTTCGGATCGTCTCACGAAAAATTCTTACAGGTGTGAGATCAGGGAAGGAGGCAACCGGCGAACTCCCACGTGGCGCGGAGTCCACGTGTCGCGACCTCCGGGCAACACGTCCGACCGACAACGGTGCAGGGTCATCCGCTTCCTATTACCCAGCACTCCTCTCTCTCTCTCTCTCCCTCTCCTTCTCTGGCGACGGTTCGTTCGTTCTTCTTCTTCTTCTTCTTCTTCGTCTTCTCATCACTCGGAGGAACTTCTCTTTAGTTTTTGGATCACTTTCTCGTTACACGAAATCTGAGTAAGTCTTGGTTCTTTCCTTGTAGTTTACATGTATCGCTTTCCTCGATGATGGATGGGGCTAGTTTGGTTAATTTGCTTAAAAGTTGGGTGGTTTCCTGGGATGTATTACTGCAGTTCCGGATTTAGAAACGGCGGAACCTAGCTACGTCAAGAACTAAGAACCTTGATCACTCTTGAGGAGCTTAGATTACATGTAGATTTGGGTTCTTTTCTAACTCCGCATTACCTGTCAGGTTGTATTCTGCAAGTTTTGTGAATGCGGAATAGTTTTCTTTGATATGCAGTCAATAGTGTCGCGGCTGATCTGTTTTCCGAGCGCATTTTCACTCCTAAACTGACAATGGAAGAGCAATTCTAAGGTCACATAATGGACATGAATCTTTTTATTAGGAGAATCCCATGACGGGCTTTCTGATGGGATGATGCTTGTACAGGGATTCTTGGTATGGTATGTACATATCAAGTTAGGATTTTGATGGGAAAAAAATGATAGTTTACTTGTTTGCTGGATTTTGTTCCTCGCCTTCATGTTCTTGCATTGGGTGCTAAAACTGATTATGACCCCCCATTGTTTTCCCGGTTTTATCTTTTTGCTGGACTTTGCAGTATAAGCGTCGTCTCTGAACTTCAAAACTCAATCGAAGGTAGTAGCGTTAAGGGGAACAAAAATGTCAGGAGCAACCTTGGGTGTGGCTCCCGGTGCGGAACTTGACCAAACCATCCTCTCCGCAGCCACGAAACCAACTCGGAAGGCCGCGAACCAGCAATCCCTTGTTGGCGGAGTGATGGGCTCGTTGCGTGTGATCGAGCTCCAGCTCGTGGCATTTATAATGGTGTTCTCCGCTAGCGGCCTCGTCCCCCTTCTCGACCTCATTTTCCCCGCCTTTGCGTCTGTGTATCTCATTGCCCTCTCGAAGCTGGCCTTCCCGTCTCATGGCAATGCCGCCACAGCTTCAGCGGAGATCTTCCAGGGTGGCAGGCTGTTCAGGCTCTATGTTGTGGTGGGGACTACCATTGGATTGTTTCTGCCGTTGGCTTACGTGCTAGGCGGTTTCGCAAGGGGCGATGACCACGCAGTGCGGTCCGCGACCCCGCACCTGTTCTTGCTTTCGTTTCAGATATTGACTGAGAACTTGATAAGCGGGCTGTCACTTTTTTCGCCACCTGTGAGGGCATTGGTGCCGTTGTTGTATACTGTGAGGCGGATATTCGTGATCATCGATTGGATGACTGATGTGTGGTTCAATAAGACCCTGCAGGCAAATGCACAGATTAAGGTAAGACTGGAAAACCACATGCGACTTCATCTACGCCTGTTCCGTCAAAGTCATAACTCGATCTTGTGTATTTTCTGAAAAGGTTTCTGTTTCGAACATTTGTTACTTCTGTTATGAACAGTTTTTGGAAAATTTTCCGGGAGAAATCCTTGCACTCTCATCTTACTGAAAAAGATTTCCCAACAAGTCGAGGGTGTTGTCAAATAATATAATGTTATGCATACCGTACACTGTTTGCATGGATTGTGAAAAGATACTTTGTTCATACGATTAGTTACTTGACTCACGGCAAGAACACTAGATAATTATACTCATTGGAACTTTAAATGACGAATTGGAGATTATTCAAGATCCTGCACTCTTTTTCGTTGTCGATCATATGTTGAACCTTTCGACTCATTATGCTTCTGCGGTTGAACTTGAACATACCTATAGTTACATGGTTATTTTTAATTTTATGGTCCAGGATGTGGTGTGGTTCTGGTTTGGGAGGAGCTTGGCTGCGGGCAATCTGTTATACTTCTCGATCAACTTGTTTGGGTTCTTGATTCCCCGGTTCCTTCCACGGGCGTTCGAGAGATATTTCAGGGAAAGAGACGAGACTCACGGAAAGATGGCAGAGGATAAGCCTCGCGTAACCGCGGCCACAAACAAATCCCAGCGATCAGATAAGAAATCGGATTGACGCCCTTTTTCTCCATGCTGGCCTATGTTTGTCACAGTTTTTTTCTCTTCATGGACTTGGGGAAATCGACTTCTTTTCTCGTTCTAACTGCAATATGTTTCTGCTCTTTTACTTCACGATCATGTGTCTTTAGGCTTCTCTTTTAATCGACACAGCATCTGTATTGCCGAAATCGGTGAGAATGGTTTTCGTTGTATGCGACTGATCATGATCTTTGGCTTTTTCGCTCGGTTCAGATAAGAAACTGGTGTGGATTCAATGTCAAGCATACTATGCTAGTGAAAGTGAGACATTTTGAATTAGGCTTAGATGAATTGACTAATTTGGCACCGTAAAGTCGATCTCTTGTGCTGCGCTTTATGGGGACTAGGATATGTGATTGAAGAAGATGGTGCCTCGTTTGTCGTTAGTATAGAATGCAAAGCCTTGGGATGTGAGGTGATGAGAGGTATCTAGGTCTCTCTTGCATTCGCATAGGTGTCGCAACTTGTGTTCTCAGAGTCTCAGGGTTGAAGGGACGTATCGAGAACCGAAACAGAATGATCACGCAGAAAACAGAGAAAATAGACGATGTACGAATTTACCCAGGTTCACCCTCGATTAGGGTTACGTCCTGCAAAGAGATTTCACTATGTTTTTAGGTTTACAGCCACTCAACTCGTTACAATGATCAGAAAAACGAGCAAAATATATATATGCCCCAAATGGGCCCAAAATCTAAACCTATATGAAATCTCTTAATCTCGCACTATACGGGCCAGCCCAAACCCGTTGAGGTTTCGGGGGCGCTGCCCCCGAACCCCGCCCGCTCACCGGCGAGCGGGCAACCAGATGCCCCGTCGGGGCGCGCCCCGAACCCCGCCAGCCGACCGGGCAGCGAGGCACCCGTGTCGGGCGCGCCCCCGAACCCCCGCATTCCGCACGCATGGGTCACATGTCGTCGGACAACACTTCGGTTTCCCTAAGCTCACGTGGGCGTACCCGGTGTGAGAAACAAGGGTCCCCGAAGTATTCGCTAACTCCAACAAGGGTGTCGTATTCCAAGGGCCGGGAACTGAGAACCAAACTGGTCGGGAAATTGTTTAAAAAGTCTTAAACTTATTGTACGGTAACCAATTCAATTCAATACTTTTTAACTATGTCAATTTAGTCCTAAACTTTTTGACGATTTGCCAATTTAGTCGTAAACTTTTCAATCATACCAATTTAGTTTTAAATCTTTTTGACGATTTATCAATGTAATCCTTTCGGCCAATTATCCAATAAGTTTAGGATTGAATCGGCAAATGGTCATAGGGTTAAGAATTAAATTAACAAACCGAAAGGTTTAGGACTAAATTGAGAAAACATCAAAATGTTTAAAACTGAATTAGTCGCCATACAATAGATTTATGATTTTTTGGACAATTATCATCACAAGAAGAATAAGTTTTGAAACCCAAACCTCTGTCAGGTAAAAAATTTCGGATAATATGTAATGGCCGATGCCCTCAACCCCTCAGGTAGCTTTGGCAAGTTCGTGACCATGCAATCGGATTCCGACTTTGTCCGCGAAGCTAAAAGAAAGAATGGTCGACTCCGACTTTGTCCACGAAGCTAATATGAACGAATGGACGAGGAGCAGAGCACGTTATGATTAGCCGATGATCAGTCGCCTCCAATAATCAACGTCCTACAGTGTCATCCGTGAAAGGAAGTCACAGCGACCTACTTTCTTGACACCATCTGTTTGCCTCCTCCCTGCTGTCTTGTATCGCTGGTAAATCTCCAACAAGACGGAAGAAAGAGAACCAACTCATTTCAATGGAGAATGAGGTGATGATGATGGTGACAAACGGTGCCCATGCTTATGCGTATTAAGAATAGCATCGTGTTATCATGTGCATATGACGCGACGTATAGTGTAGTATGGAAGAAAATGTGCTAAAACTCGCTGCCGCGGCTTTCTAGACATATACACAAAAACACGACCCTGCATTTTCAGGAAGAAAAGGAACAAAACGATCGTCGTGAATGGATTTCTCTCTGGATTTTTTCTTTCCCCAGGGAGAGGGAATATCCTTTGGTAGTTTTACATCTCAATGATCCAAAGGTCTGAACAAGAATTGAGATGAAGACTTTTAAGGACATGCTTGGTCCAGAATTTCATGGACAATGTTGATCTTCATTTTTCAGGAGCCACAAAAGGGTACAGAGAGGTTTCCCAATGGAAGACCATGGAAATGGTTGATTAATACCAACCGGGTGTATACGTCCGACAGATGACAATCATGAGTCCAAAGTATGTCGTATCAGCCAGAAGATTTACAGTGCTAGTGTAGATGTGGCTGTACAACATGAGTAAAAGTTCATGGTGCTCACTCCTGGAGCTCTCTGATCAGAGGATGAGCAGCATGTCATTCACCTGTCGAATTTTGTTCGAACGGGGATTTGATGAGAGCTTGCGCGCTGAACATTAATGACCAACGAGAGCACGTCGATTAGTGGAGACATGATACGAGCAACGGATCTTCTAGGCTTCCACTGAGGGTTCTCTTTCTCTTTCCTCGTTCTCTCTCTCTCTCTCTCTCTCTCTCTCTCTTAGTAGGACCAAGCAATCATTGTACTACTGATTGGCAATCTCTTCCTAATCAGATTCTACAGTAAATGTGCGAGATGGATTCACATAACGACACTTTTATTCATGTTTTTGCAACAGCGATGAAGTTGCCCACCTAGAGGCAAAGCCTGGGAGACGAGTAAAGAGTCCGGAGAAATGATGAAGGCAGTTGCAGCAGGCCGACATGGCCTTGAAACGTGTTTGGATCTCCACAGGATGTCCGGGGTGATTTGATCACGACAGGAACTTGGTGATCCCACAACCAAAAGAGCCTCGGTGGTAGGGATAAAAGGCTTTCTAAAATGGACAGTTTCTGGGACATGCATGCTCTAGCCAGCTTCACCACATACCTCCAAATCAATCTAGTTTCCAGGGCAGAACTCTATGATCACCATTAGCTGGAGCAGTTAGTTTAACTAACAGGAGCATGAACTGCAGCTCCTCACAGCCCAACGCTAGATCAATCTGGCGAAAAGAATATCACAAATGAATGTGAATCTGTGCCGCCGGCCATGACACCAATATAACTGTTTATGTAATCTCGAAATCATCTAATCAGTAATTAAAACAGCAATTGTAAAGCTCAACACTGGATTAGGTACCACAAAGTCAAATTTAATGTGGCCTACCTTCACATGAAGGACCTACGCGAGAATCTGGAGATTTCCAAATATGCTGTCCTCTATAAGAAACGATTTTTTTCCTTGTCCAGTTCATTTTAACCATCTTTCTCAACAGGGCCTTCGCTGTCGTCCCCACAGTAAAGGCCTTTTCACCAAATACCCGGTGGTCTTATATTAATATACATACCGACCTCAACAAGTAATTGTAGGGAGCTGGTCATGCACGATGAGAGACAGTCAATGGATACCGCAGTTCGCAACTAAACAACTATCACCGCCACTTGCGAACGTTGATCTCTTGTACACGATGAAGAACATGATGCTATAGCACCAAAAAAGTGATTGAAGTGATTATTGATACCAAACAAACACATGGGGAACAAAAGAGTTAATGTAAAATAACCTCCAACACCACCTCACTATCAACATGTATCGATGGCTTTACATATGATCGTGCGCTCGAGATATGCTGGACTCATCCATCCATTTATTTGCGAGATTCGGTTTTGACAAAATAATAGGCAACACCTGCTTGGAACCATCTTCATGTCTTCTTTCGAGCCATCTCTATCTCATATCAGCAAGAACGATCTCGATAAATCTTGTTTCTAACTTGACTGTTAAAAGTAGGTTCTCTTCCATCGACTCCCCAAAGAACAAAGGAGATCAAAACTGACAGATTGCTGCCCTAAGATGAAGGTAAATGTATATGCTGCTTTATGTAGAGGAGAATCGAGACATTCTCGGCCTTCCAATGTAATCATTCTATCTTGATGCTGCAGTTACTCGGTTGGATGCATCGGAAGTTCCGCCAAACTGGTGGCGAGCCACTCAAGGACTTAGTTATTGGTAAGCTCCTTTCAGAATTTATCTGCTGTTAGTTCCCTTAATCTTTTCATCAAACAAACAAGGGTTGTCACGTGTGTCATCAATGACAGGTTCATTTACTCCCAACGATCTAAAAGCAGAAATTAACACACTTCCCAGTATAAGTTTCACATTAGCTTGTGCACGGGACTTTTTAACAATCTATGGGAGCCATCATTTATTGGTGAAGACATGAGATGCTACTAAGGAAAACCGATTTGCAGCATTCCTGCATAGACAGAGTCATTCAGCAGTTGTACTTGGCTGTGTCACAGCACAAAATACGTGCAACGTGTTGTTTAGTTCATTGACAATAACAATGACACCTAGTTCATAAGAGTAACTACTAAGTTCATAACATAGAACTCACAAGCCCAAATTGAAATTTTTATCAGCTCTATGCCCATGCTTATTCTGTCTCTACATTTTGTGCATCAGGAAACCCCTGCAATTGCCTTTCTGGGCAGCGATCAATCGATGAACAGGAGTACTACCAACACACAAATTATGTCACCAAACCTGCCAGACATGCCCAGCAAGAGAACCGACTCCGGAAATCATTTGCTAATGTGGAGGCGGCAAGAGCAGAATATGAAAACCGTCAGGAGGAAGAATTGCTAGCTGATGAGCCCCAGCTCTTCCCTGGCTTTCTTGCAATAGGCACCCTCGGTTCAGACACTCCCTTGTCCGATCCTTCAACACCGACATTTGCCAACTCGGTCGATTACATAACCGAAAAGGAAACTGAAATGACGGAAAATGAACTGAGGTTGATCAATGATGAGTTAGAGAAGGTGCTGGTAGCCGAAGCCAAGGAAGATAGCGGCAATGACTCGTCGGGAAGATCCAGCCAAGTCAGCATGGGAAGAAGCAGCCACTGTAGCACCATCACCCTCAGTGGAAAGCCAATTTTAGATGGCCAAGAGACCAACAATGGGAGCACAAATACAGTCTATCCGCTCCAAGGATATCTTTTCAGCTCGGCCATTGAATTGTCGGAAACGACAGCAGCGGTGACGAAGGAACACAGGACATCACTCGGAGAGCTGTTTCAGAGGAGCAAACTGACAGAGGATGGATATGAGTTGAAACCCGAGAGGGAGGAGAG